ATAAATATAATAACTGAATATAAATTCAAAATATTTATTTTCAAATATTGGGGGGGCTCAAGATAGGCTTGAGCCCGAAGGGTTAAATATTGGGGGGGCTCGAGCCCGAAAGCCCATACAAGTCGCCGCCTATGTGCCTGGACATTCAGAATGCCTTCATTGAGGTAACTGCATTAACAACAACATTACTTCCAAGTTCAATTGAACAGCAACAACAATGATGCATCAACTACGAACTGATGAATTTATGAAAATGATTAATGATATCATTGGCAGTTGTGACAATGTGAATGACAACATCAGCAACAATGGACGAGGCTCTTCATAGCGATGTTGATGCATGCACAAAACTTTTTGAAAGATTATCTGTTAGTAATTTTGATTTGAATGATTCCAATGTTAATGATGTTAACAATTCAACCGGTCCAAATAAGGTTGACACTAACAATTCCATTGATGCAAATAAAACTGATGTTGATAATTTAATTGATGCAAATAAGATTGTGTTTGGTAATTTAGAAGATCTAGAAAAGAATGATGTTGATAGTTTTTTTGATTCAGTTAAACATGAGGATGGTGTTATAAACGTTGAGCCACAAAATATCAAAAAATTATATTGATTATAATTCTAAAAATTGTTTCAAAGTATATAATGTTAAAGATGTTGATGCTGATTCACCAAATGATTCCTATAATGAGTGCAACAAATCCAATCAGCCAGCTGCCACAGAACATCAAATTGAAACCACAAACTGCAATATTGACAACAATTTCATTACAAATTCACCCACAACTGTTAAGGAAATAATGTGCTCAGAAACAACTAATAACTTTAAAGCTAATTGGCAAAAATAGGATATTGAATATCCCAGAGTTGCCCTGTCAGGGATTAGAATGGCCCTCTTGGATCCATATAAAAATCTTTGTAATGTTATGTTATGTTTTTATGTAATAATTATGTTTTTAATTATGCGTTATATTCAACATCTGGAGGGCGAGTCATTTCATTTCAATATTTTTATTCAAACCTAGCACTTTTTAGACTTGGATGAAGCTGTATGTATTGATATTCAGTGACATCAAGGCTGGTAGAAAATCAGCCAACACAACTAAAGATGCATATGATGGCCAGAATAAAATGGTCACCAACCATCTTGAAAATTTATTGTCACAAATGATGCTGCAACGATTCTTAATGAATTACCGGTTAATTAAGTTTTGTTATTAGTTACTATTTAATGGTGTTTTGTTTGTAAAAATGTAAAGAAAATTTAAAATTTTTAGAAAATGGGTGCAACTTTAACTTCCAACTTAATGAGCTGACCTATCAATAGCAAAAACAGGAATGTGTGGATGTCACAATTTTGTGTTGGTCTTTGCTGGACGTATCTAGAATCAAGCTGTTTAGATTTGTGCGTGCTTTATAAATGTGTTTCTTGCAAATTTTTAACTGGTAATTTTTCATAGTGATCTTCGATTTTCATTGATCTATCTCTTTCTTCATCATCATTTTCTACTTCATCATGATCTCTTCCTTCATCCTCATCTTCATCACTCCATCTTATTTCATATATCATAAATTGCATATGTCTGTATTATATTTAGATAAATTTTATCCTAATAACAATTGGAATAATGATTGCAAGTTTATTGTGGTGAAGTTTAGCTCAGTTTAAATGAATATTGATATTTTTTTTTATTAATTTATAATTAAAAGAATAATATTTTTTATTTGCCGGAGTGAACGATGGAGTGAAAGAAGTAGAAGAGTCATCATTGAATGCGGCAATTCATGTTTTCTATCTTTCAGCGGTCATCATTTTTATTATTCGAATTCGTTTGTTTTATTATTAGTTATATAGAATTGTATAGAATTATATATTATTATATAGTGTTATATACGGTTATATAGATTTATATATAGTTATGTAGTTATTGATTATATATAGTTATATAGTGTTATATGCGGTTGTTAGTATGTATATATATATATAATATATTTTTTACAATATTCTATAAATTCTACTGAATGTTTGGCGTTAATATGTTCGTAGTTCGTTTTTTCGATTTTTCTCACTAAAGTTTTTTGGAGAACGTTTAGTTTATTAAAATTCAAAATAAACTTTTTTTCCTGCAAATAATGCGATATTTCGATTCCGAATGAATCATCATCAGTTAATTTATATAGGGAATTATTCACTTTGTGAAAATGAACTTAGATGGAACTTGGTGTCAGATTTCTTTATTGGCTGGTCCATCTTTGTTATATATAGTTATGAAGAGTTATTGATTATATATAGTTATATAGTGTTATATACGGTTTATTAATTTCTACACATAAAGTAACTCCATCCAATCTACAACCACTAGACACACTACTCTCTTCTATATCTACAAAACTCGTCTCAAATTAATCCAGACAAGCATAAAAATAACAGGTCCTAAAATTTGGACAGAACTTGTACCTCCCCATCTAAGAGCCATCATAAACCTACAACATTTCAAGTCAAAATTCCGTGCTTTTTCATTGGCACTGGATCTCGACTCCACCACCTAATACTATATTAAGAATACGTTAGAACAAATGATGCGGATGAATGGTCTTTGTGAATGTTTAAACATTTATGTGTTTATATATGTACTGAGCGAACATTTACATAGTTATATGTCTATATATGTATAACACGAACATTTACTTATTTATCTTCAATTATCTTTTTTGCTTCAGTTATTTTCCTTATTTTATTTCATTAACTATTCATATCTACCTGCGGTGGCCACCACAAGACAAACAGTCTTATTTGGTCTCCGCATATTCAACTTCACAACTTTTATTCACTTATTTGATATGTTGTTGATTATGAATAAAACTTTGAAAATGAAATGAAATAGATTTATATATAGTTATGTAGAGTTATTGATTATATATATATATATATATATATATATATATATAGTGTTATATACGGTTATATAGATTTATATATAGTTGTGTAGCGTTATTGATTATATATAACTATATAGTGTTATATACGGTTGTTAATATGATTAAATTTGAATTCAACAAGTTAAACGTATACACATACTCGAACCATCCCATCAGGATGTCCGTAGGCGTTCGTTGAATTCATTTTAGTATAGTTAATATATTGTTGTTAAACACATAATAATGTTTCCTATACATAAAATAAAGTTTTTTAATGATGTCAATGATTAAAATGATAAGAATATATGAATGAAACTGGAACGAGAACACGTTGAAATCTGACCGGGCGCTGTGCCATTCCCTTAGCGCCTGGTTCCTTTTTTTTATTTTGTATTTTAGTTAATTTATTTATTATTTCTAGACTTATTCGTTACTTATTATTTCTAAACGTATTCGTTACTTATTATTTCTAGATTTAATCGTTTTTTTGACTCGTTACTTATTATTTCCAGATTTGTTCGTTTCTTTTATTCGTTACTTATCATCACTAGATTTATTCGTTTATTTTATTCGCTATACTTATTATTTCTAGATTTGTTCGTTTATTTTATTGTTACTAAAAACACACACACACACATACATGGAGTACATCGACGAATTGGGTCATCGGTGAATCCTAGAATGAGCGAAAAGTCCTATCCTTGACGAACATTTCCGTGCACAAGTTCCACAAATCCATACACCCGCACTATCGCCGCTTTGGGCCGTCTGTTTTCGTCGAGTCCTTTTTTCAGCGAGAGCAGCTGTGCGTGCCAGTTCAAAAGCTGAAACCGCCGACTGGGTTGACCTTCTCCATTCCGAGCGTCGCAGAGCATCAACACAAAGAGCCTTGGGGTTTATAGACCACATTTTTCATATTTTCTTTAAAGCTGTCTTTGTATCTGCGTACAGCACTTGCCAGTCTATTTCCCGACGCTAGCTGACCAAAAAAGACCTGCTTGGGGATTCTTGTATCTGGCATACGCATAACGTGCCCTACCCAGCGAAACTGAGTTTGAAGCAGCAGCGATTCCACACCCATTATACCGCACTTTGTCAGAACCACTGTGTTTGGGACCTTGCCTTCCCACCGGATACCTGCAATCGTACGCAGGCATCTCATATGAAAATGGTCGAGCCTACGAATGTGGCTACGGTAGAACGTCCAGGTTTCGCAACCATAAAGCAGTGAAGGGAGCACAACTGCCCTGTATACCGCAATTTTGGTGGCCACAAATACATACATACACACATACATACATACATTCGTAGTTTTGTTTGCTTGATGTTTTATCCTCTTTTCCTTACTTTTTTCTTTGTAATAGTACAATTAGGTAGGATTAACTCATAAGTTAAGCTAATTGAACATAGGTAGGTGAGTTAATTTAGTGAACATTGGTAAGTTAGGACTCTATTCTTTCTTTCTTACAAATTGGTTGATTGATTGATTGATTGAAAGTGTATGTATCTAATATTTTTTTAAATTGAACGTGATCTGTTGACGCATTTGAATCGTAAAAATTAGTATCACTATAGAATAGATTTAGATGACTAATATTCTTGTGTCACTTGTTGAATATCATCACATTTCAACTGTTAAAAAGGGTTAAAGATCGGGTTTTATCGAAGTCGATGGTCGCCAAGTGCTGAAAGAATAAGGCACGAGAAAGAGAAGAAGAAATGCCTACAATGGAAAAACTTCCTCTAGTTTAAAAGCATACCGAAATTACAATTTAAACCCTACAAAGTTATTAAATTGATGACAATTCGATGGTTTAATTCATTATTTTAAAAAGTTATTTTTAGTATTTCAATTTAAATAATTTTATAATTTTAATTATATAATTAAAATAAATTTGATAATTAATAAAAGTGTAATAATATAGATTTTAATAATTAACAGTCTTAATATCAATTCACATTTAGACATTTTACGCTATAACCTGTTCTCACTTTTACACTTTTTGTCTCGAATCTCGTTCGCATTGAGGCGGTAATAAAAAGTTTTGCCAATATTTATAACAGAAATACTAATATGGCGAGTCAGTCGAACAGAGATGTTAGTTTACCAGTGGCAAGTGATTTATCTGGTAAACTGATCATAAAGGCCAAGTTGGGTGACGATATTAGGTGCATTCCCATACACAATGAAGATATAACCTACGATGAGTTGATGCTTATGATGCAAAGAGTTTTTAGGAATCGTCTGACCAATAGCGATGACATAACCATTAAATATTCAGATGAAGGTATTGTAATAATAATTATTAATATATAATTGATATTAAAAATATAGTAGTTAGTTATTATATGTTTTTTTTATTTATCTCTTCTGCAAAAAACAATTCTATTCTGCATTTTTTTATAATATAATAAATGTGTGTGTGTGTGAGTGTGTGTGTGTGTGTGTGTGTGTGTGTGTGTGTGTGTGTGTGTGTGTGTGTGTGTGTGTGTGTGTGTGTGTGTGTGTGTGTGTGTGTATATGTATAGTACCACCTCCCAAGTGTACCACATTAATATTCATGAATTTCAGAATCTGCTGGGGTCACAATTAAATTCAAACAATCTTGCTGTGTATAAAAAAAACTATAAATAATGGTATTTCAAATGATAATAATTCTATAGCTTTAAAAAGTATTTTAAAAACATTTTATTATAAAACCCTAAACAAATGCTTACTTTAAATTTAAAACTACTAGAAGCCACACATTTCAAAAACTTTATAACAAATTTTGCATAACTGTAACATTACTGATGTGAGAATTGCAATTTTTAACTGCTATTTTTATAAATGTGATGAGTAATTTAAGTTTAGATGATATAAAGGAAGAATGCCGGCAACACTGTCTGCATAACTTCTCTTGCTGATGTTGAAGTACCTGGCACACGTCCCAAAAGCCGTCCAAAGAAGTCCTGGTCACAAACAATCGAGCAAGACATGAAAGCTCTAAATTTAAATGAAATGGATACAACTGATCGTCTAATTTGGCGCAAAAAGTTGATGGCAAAGAAAACAACGTCCTACTTGGGAAACTGGGTCTCTGGACGCTAAACGGAAATTGATTGATTGATGAGTAATTTAAGAATATACACGAGTATATAAACTTGTGCTCTCCAAAACCAATAATTTTCAATATGGTTCTTGAAAAAAGCTTGCTTTCAACACTGATAAATTAACTATCTATAAATCAATAGTAACACTAAAACTTTTATGCATGTTTATCAATTTTATTCATACACTTATATATAATTGATATTTATATTTTGTTTTCAATTAAGATGGAGATCTCATCACAATGTTTGATAGTTCAGATCTTGCATTTGCCCTATTTTCCAGTAAAATTTTGAAGATAACAATTTTTGGTATGTTTGCTTATCAATTTTTTGAACTATTTTAATGAAAATTTTGTATAGACGCTGATTAGAAATTGAAAATGTCGTTTTAATTTTTTCTAAGTGAATAACAAACCAAAACCTTTGGTTGGAGATGATATGATGTCAATTCGTAAAGAATTAATTTCGATTCGAAACTCTGTAACGAGACTTATTGACTGTCTCGAGTTGGATCAGCGAATAACGAGTTCTCTTCCGCCTTCATCATCAACTGGAGATGACAAGAGGCCATTGACAGTTTTGGAACCAGGAGTTGACCCAAAGTTTTGTGAGTTTATTTAATTTATAAAAGTAATAATTTTATAGAATTAACAATTTTAATTGAATGAAGTATTTTTTTTATTATCAGCTGGTTACTTCCCTGCACCTGGCATGAAAAGTTGTAATGAGGGTAAAGAATTTGATCCACTTTCTGCAGGTGTGGCTCACATTCATTTTGTACATGCATAGTTTTTGAAACAATTATACTTATGCCAGCAATCATCATGTGCTAGCTAATGGTATTTTTTGTTATTATTATTACACTAGAGTTATTTTATTCAAGCAAATCAAATTATAGATGATTTTATCTTCCTAAATTAATGATATTTGTTTGAAATGGTACAAATTAGATGGAAAAGCAACTAACAAGAACATGGATGCAACTAAGCAGTCATCAAGCATCCAACAGCCATCTTGTATGTCTTCATTTTTACAATCATCATTTTATTCTTATCATCACAACCGTTATCATTGTCACCCAAATCATTATCAGTTTGAATCACTTCTGTTACCATTCAATTTAACATTTGTTCAAGATACATTTTGAACAATTTTGAATTTCATAAAATTATTTCTATGTATATTTTCATAAGACATTTCGTTCACACCTTCGCTCATTTTATACAATTAACATCACAATGGTAGCAGGCAGCAGGAGTCACACTCCATCTTGTCTTTCTCAAACAAACCAAGGGAGGGCTACTGTTTCACTGTCACCCCATTCTGGAGGGGAAGGGATAAGTCAACCAATGTCTGGGTCATCAGTTCAACCACAACCTGGCTCTGTCGGTCAGTCTGGTTCAATTGTACAACCTCTCCCCCACCAATCAACAGGAGACCAACAGAGCGCAACAGCAGGAGGATACCCTATGCCTCCCCATCAACAGTCATCAGGAATCTACTTACCTCAGCCACCGTCATCTGGTCTGTCTGCTGCTACTTTCAACAGCAACAACCTCCAACCAGGTGGTCCTGGATCACAATCCGCCACTTATGCACCACCTCTACAGCCAACCCAAAACAGTTTTGGAGGGTACGCACTGCAACCAGTTCAAACTGGTTTGCCAGCTGGTCAGCAGATTGGTGGTGGCGGTGGGCAGTACTCAAGTTATCCTCAGGGAAATTATGGAGGAGCGAGTGGAGCAAGTCAGCCTGGATCATATGCAAGTCAACCATATCAAGGATATCCTGTTAGCATTTTAAAATTAATTAGTTATCATTATTTTAACGGATCCGTTACAAATAAAAAACTAGAAACTTATACATTGATTTGATGTTCAAAAATAATGTAACAAGTGCTACAACTTACAAATATGCAATAACCATGCAAGTTAACATTATATTAACGTAAAAGTGAATTAAAATTATAAAATGAACACAAAAACTCAGATAACCCATGCACTAAAATCTTTAAATAATCAGCCGAACCCCCAAGCCCCAGCATCATCATCGTCATCATCCGGTTTGAATCCTTACAGCAGAGGTCCAACTTCATCTTATGGACAACAATATCCCAGAATGCAAGGCACCTACCCACCATCACATTAGCTGGTGATGATGATTATGATGGCGACTATGAAGATAAGAGTGATTGGTTATGATAGCGGTTGTAAATATTAAAACCTAAGTACGTTTAAGGCCTGAAAAATAACGATGATGATTGATCAGTGTTTCTTTATTGAATGGTTAAGGTCTGAATGACTATGTTAATGATTTAGAAAAGATAAATGAATCACGACGTCATCAGTTGACGCTCATTTATTATTTTATTAATATTTTTGTAAACATTGTTATTATATAAATTATAATCAACAACATTATTTTCATCATTCATGGTCGATATTCTCCGTGTTACTTTTGGGAAGTCGTATGCAATTCTTATCTTTTTATGTTTGCGAGTAGAGTGTCGAGGTTAAATGAGAAACATCTGACTCCCACTCCAGCCTCTCATAATATTCCGACTCAGAAAAGTTTTTTAACTTTTGCATCATTACTAAATGAAAATACTTTAAAAATCAATTAAAATCAGTCAATATAATTGTTTTTCTTAGCAAAATTATTTTAATTTATGTTTTTAAACATACTGAAAAAAATTATTCACATTATTAGCATTTATTTTCAGTGTGGAAGACGATTGCATATCGCCACACCTAACTACCTTCCAAAAACGACGCGAGATGAAAATTTTTTTAAAAAATTCATAGCATTTTCTGGCGTCGGATAAAACATCTGATTCCGTTCCGTTAAAAATTTCCGACACTCTGCGGGAATGAAACAGCTTGTTAATGACGAAGTAGTAAGTTATTTATTTTAAATTATTTTAGTATAGTATTGAGGATGAATTAAATCCGCCATTTTGAAGCATGTTATTCGGTGAAATGATCCATCTCGACTTTCAATTTGAATCAACTAAATCATTTTTTAGATAAAATAAAATAATTGTTTTTGTGATTACCTTCTTCCTCTCGTGCCTTATCCTTTCAGGATATTGGCGACCATCGACCTCCGCAAACTAACTGCACCAGTTGAAATGTGTGATATTCAACAAGACTTATATTATATAGATTATCATTTATATAAATAATATAAATTTTGACAAATTTAATTATACAAATGCATATCGACGTTAGAAATATTTTTGGTTGCGATGAAAACTGATAGACTTACTAACCAATAAAATATATTAAATGAAAGCTAGATGGCTCTGCATTGAACAGAGGCGGCTAACATTAAAAACATTGCACCTGTGAAAAGTTTGTAAACATCACCATTAAAATGAGCTCGTATAATGAAGGTAATAAAGATAATAGTAGCAGTAGTATTAAACTATTAGCAAAGTTTAAAGGTTTAATTCCAAAGTTTAGAGGAATCGTCTTTCAAACGGGTCATATGCATACGTTCCAATCAAAGCGCCAAACAATGCATGTGATAGGCGGGTATACGTTTGTCGTATTCGAACCTACTCGCTGCGGAAAAGGACTATGACACTGGGCACTAGGCCGTCGCCACAATTTAATTAGTAACGGTGGTGGCGATAATTATCAATCAACGATCCTCCTTTGCCCATCGGGGGACCGTTGAGGCCGACGGTGTACATCTTAAGCATGCTTTTTACATTTATTTTTTCTTTCCAAAAACCTTTTCTATCTTAGGCCAGTTTTATTGAATTCAAATAGTCAATAATTATAGTAGTTCATTATTAGCGGTAGTACTAACAAATGAGTAGTAGCAATACTAAACTGAAGTTATATACATAGTTTAATAATTGTATATAGATATATATATATATATAATACATATTTATACATATATATATATGTAAGTTTATTTTACAATACTCTTGCTATATTTACATATTTAATAACGATGTCATTAAAACTTGGTAACGGTGATTTCATTGAAACGTTGAAGCATTCACTTGCAGAGCAGGAGCAGCAGGTAAAAACAATAAGAAATAGTAAGAAAGAACGTAAGCCTATTATTTACACAATATTACTTTATGTACCTGTTGTAATATATATTAGTCAACAAAAGTTGTTTACAAGTGTTGCTGTTCACTGATCAATGATCTCAATTGTTTGAGGATGGTGTCCAGAAATTTCTTTTTGTCCCTTTCATTCTTCTTAAATGAGCTGAACAGATTTAATTTCTTTTTCTCGCCTTCTTTCAATCTTTAATACAAAATTGGTGTGATGTTATTATGACAATGAGTTTGCAAATATGTACAAAAACCCATCCAGGGCCGGATTAGGCCCCTAGCGGACCCTGGACATAATACTAAATAAAATTTGTAACCACATAGCAATGCTGAAATAATCAATATTAACTATGGTTAAAATTGTATGGTGTGTCAATTAAATAACTATTTTTGTTAATCAGTCTCAGTCTCATAAGTTACATAATTTTTTCCAATTTGTTAGCGTCATTCTATGATTATTCACAATTAATGTTTATCTGCTGTCGTTTATAAAATATAACGAATGCTGATTTTCCTCCCAGTATAAAATATAACATTTCCTGTCCAATCAAATTTTTCAAATAACTTTTATTCGAACGAACACGAGTATTGTTTGTTCATTTTCTAATCCTAATGAAGATAACGAAAAAATCCTCAATTTTTCGACGTAGTGAATTAAGTGATCTCACCAGAGATCTCAAATTTTCAAAACAAGCTTTTGAATTGGTAGCATGCAGCATGAGCGTTAAGGTTTTAACTTTTAAGGCATTGGATACACATTTACTTCTACATGTAATGCTTTCTCTTGCAAATTTTAAAGACTTTATTGCATAATGACGAGTTCAAAGATTTTACCAGAATATCAAAATTAAGAAGATAAACACTGGTGTAACTTTTTCTTAAAATATTTGTAAGCAAACTTGTGAAAAAATTAATTTAAAAAACGCCTTCTTCATTCAATTTAACCAAAAGTAGCGTAACATGTAAATAATAATTTTCCAAAATGTGCACTTATAGAAAAAATTAATGCTATATTTGAAACCATGCTATCAAATTGAAAATGGAATCGGCTAATTATATCCCGGTACTAAAATAGTTAACTTTTGTTACTCTTTATATACGAGGACAAGTAATTAATTTGTATCTTGGAAATCTTGCTTTCTTGTCATTGAAGTAAATTGTTTCAGTTATTGTATTTCATCATAACTTTACTGCGCCATCGACATGTGAGTTTTGAAAAATATTTTTCTACATCTTGGACAAAAACTGGACAAACTTACTAATCTTATAATTTTACGGTTTGTACCGACGTTGCAAACAGTATGTAACTCGGGTTTATCATACAATTTTAAATGGGTTTACTTTACTGTCTGCATTTCACTGGAAATATTTCCACTTTCTCAACAATCATTATCATATTTGCATAGTTTGTTGCTTCATTTGTTTCGTTTACATTATACTGTATCCTTTAATGAATTTAAAAATCTTTGTAGAGGTTATGCTTTTTGCTTTCTTGTTTTAATTTATGAACAGCTACGATTTTCTGTGATTCAGTATGAAATGCGGTTTCTTTTTAAATATTTTCTAAGTGAAAGTTTCAAATTTATTTAAATAAATCAGAAAAACGAATTTGCGAAAATTGCGGGTTTTAATCATTTTCCCAATGGTTCATCCAACCCTGGACCTATCCATTATGTACTACTAATATTACAACTGGTTTTTTTTAATTTTAATCACTGCAAATAAAATTAAAAAAAAAATTCAGTGGGCTAACTTTTCTAGTAGTTTAACACAAACAGCAGGTTGAACTCTTAAATACTTATGCGACGGCTTACCATAATCAGCAAAATATATTGTCCATTCCTCGGTTATAAAAAGGTTTAACAGCTGGAAAAATTGGATACTATATATAAATAATCATTTTTATTAATTCATTAATTAATCTAAAAAATTGATACCTGTCTGAGTTCTTCAAATGCCATCTTGAATGTGTTACCATCTAAACCACTTATTCGTGTACCCATTGCAAAATCTATGAACGTGGAAGGTAAAAATTTTATATATATGAAAATAAATATCAAATAACTTTCAGTAGTTATGAAAGCACATGCAAAAAACAAATTCATTAAAAAAGCTAAGAAGCACCAATTAAAAGGCAAACTGGCATAAATGCAAGCAAAAAGAGGTTAACATACTTTCACACTCTTTTAAATCGAAGCTCAGTTGTTGAAAAATATTTTCCGAGACGATCTTCACATCATCATCCTTTAACAACGCCATCAGGGATTCAGATATGTGCTTGCAAGCGGACATGCAGGCTGTTTGGGCAACTTTCTCCTGACAATCATCATCGTCGTCGTCATCATCATTGCCACGATCATCAATAAAATCATTATCAGCAAAATATCAATATCCTCGCCCATATATGATGCATCACCAGCGTCGCAAAAACGGATGATACAAATAACGACAGCTTAGAAACCAAACGTATAGAAATTATTAATATAAGAATATATAAATATGATTATCTAACTGGAAGATTAGTGAAAGATTGAAAGATTCCATTGAGAAAAGCAACCATGTCAATTATGAAGCCACTTGGTTGGATCACGTGGTCCGTGCTGGTCCAATCATACGAGGCTGTACACGAGTAAATGTTATTATATTAAAACTATCATTTTATTGAAGCATGTCCAACTAACCTAATTCAAAGAATTCATCAACCTTCAAATCAATTTGTTTATAAATCTCTTCCTCTGCCTCACTCTTGGCACTCTGAGTCGCGTTTCAAAAATTTTGTCAAGTATCAATTCATCATCAGATCATTTAAAAAAGAATGTTTCATTTATGTGCTCATATAATTGATGGCGCTTAAGTTAACTGATATCATTCATTTCATCCGGTCAAAAATCAACTAATAAAGCATTCCATTAAACAACAACCAACTTTAAACATTGACTGTCCATGCAGTCTGGAAACTCTGTTCTTGTCATAGTGTGCTCTTTTCCGTGCAAAATTAAATAAAGAAGAAGTATTAATATTTAATACATCAGCTATAAAAATAATGATGATGATCTTTTAAAAATAATTATAACAAACCCAGACAGTTGCCGAATAAAATCTTCCAGGTACACACAGCTTTGATCTAGATGTTCCATGTTAATTGATATCTGTATCAGCTGTGTGATATTCAACACAAGGTGTCTCAACAAAATGTTCACCAAAGCCAAATCAAAACTTTCAAACATTTGAAATTTTATCTTCGATTCCACAAATATAATTTAAAAATTTTCAAATTGTGAAAGGTAATTTAACATTTGAAAATATTGTATAAGAAGGCTAATAAAACTTTTTAAGAACAATAATATAATAATAATAATAATAATACATCAATGGCGAATCTCTCTCAGTTGGTTTCGCCACTGAAAAGAACAATGTATTTTGAAAATATGAAATCAGACCACTTCCATGAGTTAGAGAGTTAACATTTTAAGCTAACTATGTTACAATGTTAAAAAGAAAGTTGAAATAAGTTGAATGTTATGAAAAGAAAAAATTATCGAAAGATGACGGCTGACGACGATGGATGATTTCAACTGCCATCAGGCCGACTATGATGACGACCGCTTTTGGTGAAGATAGTTTATATTAAAAATAAAAAACAACCGCTCGATAAATGCAAGATAAAAAATATATAATTAAATTACAACTGGAAAAATAAGAGAGTATAACGGCATAACGAAAACGAAAGGAGCACAAAGAATAAAACCTGGGGAAGTGTGAGATACGGTTTTTTGATAAGGATAGCCAAACAGCCACCCAATGTTCTTGTTAGCAACGTGTTTGCAAATTTTCTAATCGTGTCATCTATCTCCGTTCGACTAAACATAAGGGAAGAGAGGAAGAAAGAAAATTGAAGTTACTGGAAGATAAATAAAAATTACTTGACTTAATTCAATGAAAAGAAATTGGTAATTAAATGTTAAGTGATAGATCGATGAGTCAAGAGAATTGATTGATTTATAAAGTAAGGACAGACTGAACATAAAAACTAGATTGAAAGTGATTAAATGTTATTGAAACATAATATTTCAGTTTTTTGTTAATGTCAACGACATAATCAATCGACCTGACCAGATGATTGAAAATGTGGCCTGTTGTTAAGTTAAAAGCTTCACAAATTACATTGTTATTGATCTGTTTTATTGACACATTAGATAAAAATAAATTTATTGAATGAATAAATACATTAGATTTATAGAAATATATTGTTGTCGACGTCAATCATTCAATCAATCAAGCAAATGTGTGCAGTAAGTATTTCTACAACAGCAATAAACTAAGCAAGTGACACACACACACAAACAAATATATTGTATATATATATATAGCAATATAGCGGGATGAAAATAGAAAGCATGACAAAGTCTGGACATACATAGCATAAAATAAGCCGGTTCTATATGAAAAAATAAAAAGTTTTTATTAAAGATTGTATCACGGTTCTTTTTTTATAAATTATATTTAGACATAGGATGATAATTAATGCTAGTCAATTGGTAGAAAAGCAAATGGTAACACGACAAAAAACTTAATTACGCAAGTGGACAGTTGTGCAGTAAGGTGTCAAACATTCCCACTACAATCAATCGTATTCGTTTATCTTTATTCATTTCGGTTCGGGTATAGAAATTAAATAATTATCTAAAAAAGCCAAATAAATAAATAGTTGAATAAGTGATTAAATAAATAAATAGATAGATGAAAAAATAAATGAAGCTATGCCCAAGAGCTCGTTAAGAGCCATCGAACGAACGAAGAAGAAACCTGAAGAAGCGTGTGTTTAGGATCTTCAATAGAATGCAGTACACAAGGTAATAGTGAATCTTCTAATATTTTGCGAGTTAACGAATCAATCCACACTCCTCTATCCGTTTTACTGAGATAAATGTGATGATGCAAAAAACATTAACGACAAAATAAAATTAAACGTTTCAAATCGGAAATTTTTAGAATAAAAACAATTCTAATCGACATGAAACTACCCCTAATAAACAAACAACAAAAGATTTCAACAATCCTCCCAACAAGAAGGACCATAATAAAGTATATTGATGACATAAATGGTAGCGACGAAGACACTGAAAAAAGCAATATCGATCAAAGTGCTTTCGAAGAGCAAGTAAATGATACCAGTAGAAATAGCACAATAAAACTTAACATCGAAGTAATTAGCCAGAACAAAGAAACCATAGCAATTAGTAAAGAAGAGAGTAAAATTAACGAAGTCACAGAAAACAACAAGCGCTAATCACAGGAACAAAGGCCTGGGTTATACGAATTCCCTATATAAACTGCAACAGTGCTGAAGATGATTGGAAAATCGAAATAGGCTCCTATACACTCGAGAATGAATTGGAAAACTGTATATTATTCTAATTTTAATAAAATAAATAATGACGACGAGAATTTGGTTAGAAATACTGAAAAATAAAACCAAAAACTATCCAACGCTAAAAATTCTGTAGATTTCACATACACCACACAATCAATCAATCTTCGTTTAGCGTCCAGAGACCCAGTTCCCCCGAGGTAGAACGTTGTTTTTTCTGCCATCAATTTTTTGCGCCAAATTAGACGATCAGTTGTATCCATTTCATTTAAATTTAGAGCTTTCATGTCTTGCTCGATTGTTTGGACGGTCTTTAGGACGTGTGCCAGGTACTTCAACATCTGCAAGAGAAGTTATGGCACTGTTTCCACTTCGTTTGACATGACCAAACCACCGCAGACGGTGTTGCCGGCATTCGTCCTTTATATCATCTAAACCAGCACGACGCAGGATTTCGGCAGATTTTATGTGGTCCTTCAGACTCATTCGTTGCATCCATCGGAGCATTTTCATACACACACACACACACACACACACACACACACACACACACACACACACACACACAAACACACACACACACACATATATATATATATATATATATATATCTATATCTATATACCACTTATGATATATTACAACATTTTACCAAATACACAACATCTAAATGAACAACATATGAAACCAAACAAAACAGCAAGATTAATTATAATTAATTATTAATAATTATATTAATTAATAATTATTAATCCAGCATTTGGTGAGTTTCAACATTGGATGCAAAAACATTCCCGCCAATTAAATTGGTGATTGGGCAAGAGCTTGATAGATGGTAGACATCAAAAAGAGCCAACAATTAGCATCACATATATCTTCACTTTCGCAACGATACAACTAAGTTCGCCGTCAAATAAATTCTCATCGAGTTCGTTTCCTGACTGTGAAGTACATGACTGTTGAAATTTAAAAAACACGCACGCGGGAATTGCGACATGTCACATATGTCCAATAAACCATTTAAAAAGTAAATATATAAGCAGAAATAAAAACAAATTAATTAATTAATAAGTTAATAAACAGAGGGCTCTAAATGAATGACGATGCATGCATAGCACAGACATAACATACCGAATGATGAATCAAACAGTTGTTTCATTATATACAACCTGATGTTCAAATCTTCAGAGAATTCAAGACAGGCGCTTATGTACCTCTTCACCTCAGTAAAAATCGCTGGTACGAATTGCGAGAATGGAAACCTCTTTGGGAACGGTTCCTACATTTGTCGACAATTTAATTTAAAAGTAATTAAACATCAAATTAAGCAAAATAAAATTTGATAATGTTATTAAAATTAAATAATTTTAAATAAATTTATGAAAAAGATTATAAACACAAAACAGAAAAAAGATAGAATTCAAATAGGACAATCTGACCCTTTCAAGCGCAGGATTTTTATAAGGATAGGACTCGATGACAGCTGCATACTGATCCTTGTTCTCAACGAGCATTGGAGTGTAGTTGTCGGTCAGGAATATTGAATTGAAGACATCAACCCACTGTTTCCTTAATATCTCACTGTACTGGTCTCTATCATTAAATTGAATTGAATTAATTGTTTAATCAAAACAAAATTTGATTAGAAGACCAAAAAGATCTTCTATAACTATAAACAAAAACTAATGTTCGAAGAAAACCCTTCAAATATGATAGTTGATAAACATGAAGCTTTATTGTCTATCAATGTAAAACACTTTGAAGTGCATCAAAGCAAACATTACGATGCAGAGGTGGATTGTAAGAGCAGATAAGTTTCAAAGAAGATGACAGTAATGCCGATTAAAAAATCTAGTGCTAAACAAACAAATAAAAACGAAACAATACTGAAAATACATCTAAGTAAAATAATATAATAGGGGGAACTAAAGTTAGTACCTAACTTCCAAGAGAAGTTCAAATAACTGACTTGTACCATAACCATACCCCTGTTGACATTATAAAAGATGTACACACATAAATAATTAAAGGTTAAAGGTTACTCTCTCTCTTTTGCGTTAGCTTCAGAGGTTTCAACGACTATTACAGTAGTGTACTGCAAGCGCCCTTTAAAAAGATCTCAGAGGCGAAATACATACCAAAACACACAGTTCCAAACACACACCACACACACACACACACACACACACACACACACACACACACACACACGTCTTTATATAATACTTCGCTGATTAAAGTTTATTTGAATTGAATACACACACACACACACACACACACACATATATATATATATATATACACTATTACAAACACCCACATTCAAACATACACACCAACAGATACAAAAACATGCCCTTAAAGTTAGACAGAAAACCATGAGAAGGTTTTTAACTTGCAGAAGCAGTTGAGTATCCATACATGACCCCTTAATAAATTCAAAGTAAAATGTTACTAACATAAAAATACACACGTTTAGACGACATTTTCCCCGAGATCGGGGGTTGCCGTTTAGCAACATAAACATAATAGCAATAAAATCATTAAAAAAATATTATTTATAACCGCTGCATGCCATCCATAAAAAAGCAGTTCACCACTGAAGCCAAGATCAACGAACAGCATCAATAGGTTAATTACAATAAAATCTTACAATGTGCATCCTTAGAACAGCTATGACTTTAACCAATGCTGATTCCCAGAACTCGTCAATGTATCCCTGGTTAATGAGGCCTGATGTTGTTTTCAATATGTGGTTCTCCACTACAAAGAATCTGTTATAAAGGTGATTATAATAAAATATAAGGGAAACATATTTTATTTTTTGAAACTTGAATTATGGTGAGAAATAATATAAAAGTATACCCATAAGAGTCACAATAATTAGCTAAAAGTATTAAAATGTACGATCGTCCTTATTATCAGTGATAAGCGCATGGGAGTAATAAAATATACTTAAAATAGCATCGGGCACTGTTTATATCATAATAAATTCCGTATGACGAGCTGATTGCGCTTTTTATAAGTTTTGCATCAAAAGAAATTGGCCATAAAATTTCAAATAACGACAAGTTATTATAGTTATAAAAGCCGATTGACAGACTTCAATTGAATTAAGAATGAAAGAAGAGTTAATATAGTCGCTATTTAAATATGATTCAGGTTTGAGTATTTTTGGCGTTTGTACTGTCTAGATGATAAAATGTTTGTTTCGTGGCTTATCATCAACTATAAAACTTCTATTTTATTGCCTCGCAGAATAGAAATGTCTGGACGTGTAGAACAGATGAAACATTGGGCGAACGTTTTTTACCACCAAATCAGAAATAGGCATCAGTGTGAAGCTTTGATTCGTTGACGATCAGTGCCAGTAGTTTATTGTGTCCGTCTGTGTATCTCGTCAAGCCAAGGCTGATGTCGAACCGCAGTCTGACATAACTAGTGAGAGACTGTTTTAAAGAAACCCGCGTTAACCAGCGAACTCTCAGGTTTCTTTAAGAATAAAGTTTTTTTGCGAATAGCTTCAAATTTTCAGCTTCGTTTTTTCGGCAATGTTTTTCAGTAATGTAATGTTACTGCCACCAAACTTTGTTGGTAACAAAATAACCTGGGACATATAATAAAAATTACAACAATAATAATAACATTAACTAACCCAACCATCTCAAAGAAATAGTTCTTGTAGCAAGCCAACGTATTTGCCTGTTTCAAGTGCGTTATGAAAGTTATTCGAAACAGAAATAATAATACAAATTATTGATATCTACTATTAAAGTTACAACCAAAGTTTAATCAGTGAATTGCCAGCTTTTTTAATAAAAAAGGACAAATGTGGCATGCAGATTACATTTTAATAACCAGAAGATCAATTTACGTTCGTTCCGTCCCATCTAACAAAACATAATCAATCATATTTTTTTATTAATAATTATTTAATAGCCCTCTAAATTATCGTTTTCAGATTCACCTACTTTTCACGCATCTATGCATTCCCACAAACACTAAACTCACAGGGTCTGGATCTTTGCCCTCCTTCAGAGAAAGCCTTTTAGATTGTTCCTATATTCGTAAACATCATGCCATTTTCTTTTATAGTTATCATCACCATCAACCTCCTTCTCTTTAAAACAATCACTCTTTGGTCAAGCAACAAAATCGAGCGAACAAAAAATTAGCATAAGAGATTGATCAACCAACTAACCATTGCAACGGACGGCTGAAGGGCCAGTCTTCCTTGCTTTCTTCTCTGATTTCTGTAATAAGATTCAAATGTGTCCTTGCTCCCCTGTAGCAAAATAATAATGTCGGACCAATCAGCAACAATTTTACAACTGTTAAAATAACAAGAATAGTAATAATAAATTTAATCATTTATTAACTATTTATTAATGAATGTCGTTCTTGTCGATGATACTCACAAGCACGGAATATATGTGCATGCATCTGTAAACCGGTGCAAAGTCAATCAAATCCTGTGCACTTAAACCCTGGAGGCACAAGTCAATCAATTTATTTACTAGATTGTTTATTCATTTGTTCAATGGATAGGAATCAATGCTCAATATCGAACAGTATATTCAGTAAAAATATTAATATAAAATAACGACTCACAGACATCAATATGTAAACATCTCTTTAAATTCAAATAAACTTCTTTTCATTGAAAATAAATATTTCTTACACAACAACGTAGATTTTTTAAAAGATTATATACATTTTTTAGAAATGAAAATGAACCTTTTCAACTAAAAATAAATAAAAATGGCCATCAACAACAAATGAATTAACTTTTGAACCAATATTATGTCATAGTTATAACAGAAAAAACATTGAAAGAATAAAGATGATGTGAATATAAATGGCAGACATCTTCATTGTCGATGGGCGTATCTTGTTGCACTCTCTTCCTCATCATCAAGCCAGCATCTTCCTCTCCATGCCTATCATTATCTTCCTCCAACATTCCCGCGCCCGGTGGAGTGGGGGCCATTCTTTTCTTTCTCTTTTTATCACCCTGACTGCGACTGCTGATGATGTTCGGATCTAACCCGTTTTCTTTGGCTGCCTGTGCCACATTTATTACCATAAGCATTGTTATTAATATTGATATATTGTTATAACCATTTTTCATTTTAAAATACGAATCGTACAAGATTATTTTGTCGACTTTGATTTTCATTTTATAAACTTCTGTGGAAGTTGAACATCTTAAAAATTGTTTACTTATTTATTATTGAATTTATAAAGTTAAAAGATTGACTTATTGGGAAATGAACAAAATTCACTTGAATCATTGCCACTTCTCCAATTCTTGCAGAATGTTTGCGAATACTTTCAAGAAAATCTTTCAACTCTGCCATACTGGCCTCCTTAATGCTCTCCCTAACTTTAGGAATCCCATCGCACATAATCTGTGCAAATCGAAACTTGCTAAGACGTGGTAAGTAGGTGTGTTCAAGCTGCTCCAGTGTCTTCAAGGCGGGGTAGTACCTTGAACAAATTTTGTTTATCAATTAAATATTCTACATAAATACTGAAAAAAGTAAATAAACTAAATGAACAAAAAATGTCTATCATCACTACAAATAAACATAAGTTAGAGGATTGCATCACCTTTTTGATTCCATCTGTTTCTTAAGCTTGCCATATGTTTCAAGAACTGATGAAAATTGTTATTCAGTCATTATATGTAAATAAAACACATTTGGATGTAATTCAATACAGGTATAAAATGGCAATTGAAATAATAAAAAACTAGAAAAATTATATTTAAGAAAAAAAACCAGGCAGGCAGTAGGTTAGCAAATCAATAGAGGATTCAATATTCTGCTGAGTTTTCCTTTCTTTCACTAACTCTCCACCTTTCTTTATCAAGGTCTGACCAGACAGTTGAAGTTCTTTGTTCGCAACCTCAACCTCAAACTATACAATTTTGTTACAATTTTGTCAAATGAACAATTTTCAAATAAAACAATTTTTAAATTATGAAATTTTTTACAAAAAATTTTAGATGAAAAATAAAACTATTATAAATATACAATAATAAATAGAATCATCTAGAAAAAATGGAATGATTTTAAAATTTAATATATAAGAAGTAACTAACTTTCAGTTTGTCAACATCACTCCTGACTTGCAGTAAACTATGGACAGACTCAATGAAGCCCTGGTAATGATGGTTACACATCTGCTCGATTTGCTTGTTGTGAGTCATTATGCGAGAATCCAAGCAATCAAAAAATTTTTCAGGTTCTGGTCCTTCGTACACAGACCTGTTATTAAATTTGATCTAACATTTTTATTAGAGTAAATATTCTGTTGTCAATTTTGATTTGTACTATTTAATTCAATATATAATTGAAATTATAAATAAATTTATAAAAATAAAATAAAACCAATAAAATAAATGAAGAAAGAATGAATATAAAATTGAAAAAATATAATTTTAATTTAATGAACCTAAGAGCAGTTCCAAGGTGGCCATCGGTTGATTCAATTTCGTTGACTAACAATTCGTGTTGTTGCATGACCGGATCAACAATGGTGGCATCAACATCACCCACACTCACATTTTTGCCAGTAATTCTCAAATTATCAGCCATCTTCTTCGAAATAAAAAGTAAAGTAAATTACAATAACAATGACAGGAACAGCCCACTGACTGATTTTACTTTTAATATTTTTTACTGGTCCATTTAAAAACTTTAACTGAATAATTATTAATTACCTAAAGATTTTTTTCGACTTATGAGTATTATTATACCCTCATGAATATGCACTTTTAAAACTACGACACTTTATTTATATTTATGCATACATGTACAACCATGGATATATATAATATACATGTGTACAACAGTACAACGATGACTTGGCGTTTCAAAGTTCTCAAACTTTTTTTAATTTATTCACTTTTATGCCAATTATGGCGGTGTATAGAATTATTTATATTTATATATATATATATATATATATATATATATTAGGTTGTCCCAAAAATATGAAGTTTTAAAATATTGATGTCTCACCCAATTAAATATGTCTGTATGGTAACAGTAATTTACCTGCTAAATTTTAGCCCATTTGGACAATGTTTAGAGGTCCCCCATGGGGTCGAAAGTTTCCGATTTTGGTGTTTGATCGTTCGCTACCAACTTTTGATCCAGTGTTATATGATATGATTATAAATGTTTTATGATTTGTTTATACAAATGAAACAAAATATATAATTGTGAAAAAATATATAAATCTGCAATGCCTTTTATTTTTTAATTTTAAAAATTAGGTCAAAAATGATTGAAAAACAAGATTTTATTGAATTTCAGTTCGCTTGATATTAATTAATGCAAATAATTCAAATTTTTGCTAGCAGTTCACGATTATATTCTGCAAAGTTTTTCCTATGCTGTTCAACTACTTGAAACAAAAATTGTTTCTGCTCTGCGTCTTTGGTGATTGTTTCATTGAAATGTTGTACCAACGCTACTCCCCGTTCTGCAGAGTCATTGATGCAAACCAGATTCTTCACAAACACTGCTGCAACTTGGAAAGAAGGAGTATATGACCAGTTTTCAACAAAGTACATCAAGAAAACTGGCATCAATATTAGATGTTTCAAAAAATGTTTTAGACGCACGGAAATTGTCAAAACTTTGTGGTAGTGTTTTCATCAGATGTGGGCCTCGATCTGCTTGTATTGTGCGGACAAGATCAGTCTTTTCTTTGTCATACAGGAGAGATGAAAAAAGAACAAGAGTTGCCAATTCTGGACTCATGTACCAAAAATGACGCAGCATCATTTTTAATCGTCAAACCAAGAATTGCATCGTCATAGTCATGCAAACGCTGTATCAACAAAATGTCATTCACAGGTGCATCAGCAGTGAGCCTGCATGAAAACCATGACTGAAGATAAACACAAATGATAAACCGATTCAAACCTTGAATACCTTGTAATTCTCGAGCAGTTTAAGTTAAAAATGGTTTTATTTATGGTGAATAATAGTTCAATTTTTAATGCGTAGATGGCTTTTGCCATCCATCGTGCCCTGTGCCGTGCACCAGGTTTGCGAATGGCTACATCAACCTGCAGTTCAGCTATTTGTGCAGCAAGAAGTAGAAACTCTAAATAGTCATCTCGAGAATGTCTGACCTCAAGTTGACATTTGATGAATGCTTTAATTGCATCTGAAACAATTATCAAAGGGGTTGATCTGGCTTCTGGTGTGTGATTCATTTCTGTCCATTTTTCACGAAACCTTTTGAAGAATAAAATTTCTGGTCCAGTGGATGTTCCAAGACAAACACTATATACACCGGCAAGCAGCACTTCAAGCTTATGATGACGGCAAGCCATCCATACTAAATTACGTCCCATGGCTTTGATGTAGCTGATGCCAACTGTGCCACATTAGAATGCAAATATGTTGAAGGATAGACTTCGCTTCTGAAACTTCTAATTGAATAAATTTTATTAGAATTAGCTGAAATAAATAACAAAGAATTCCAATGATGCGTTTACTTGCGCTGAATTATTTTCATTCATAACTCAAAACTTAGACCAAGTTAAATTTTATTTTTTTTCAATTGGAGTTTTAAAGTGACGAATGATTTTAAAAGAAATTAACAACCGGTAATTTGTATGTATCTGTAAATGATGACATAAAAAGTGTGGACCTATCTACAGTGTCGGCTTGAAATGATGACTTTTATAGGATGATAACACTGATTATAACAATGTTAACAAAGACCATGATGACACTATAGATTTTACAGATGACGGCTGTGCTAGAGCGCAATAAAACTGATTGCGGAACAATTTAGTTTATAGATGAATTTTTAAATAATACATGCATAAATGAATGATAAGTAGCTGAATGAATGAATATGCAAATGAATGATGACAGTTTAAATGGCTACAAAACGAACTATTGAATGAATGAACACAAACAAGAATTGATGAACAATTAATTAAAAAAATATATATGTATCTAAATTTATAACATTTAAAAAATTGAATTCAATAATAACGGAGAGTATTGAGGGATAGTATGTGATATAAGCATATAAATAACTTTCCTAGTAACGAATTTAGAAAACTTTCAAAATAAATATTTTTAAAAACGAGTAAAATAAATGACAGAATGTGGATGTAGAGCAACTTGAGAAGTTACATGAAAACCACCCACAGTCCTATCCCGACGAACACTCCGTGAGAACACAATGAAACAAACACGCCTCCAAAATTCAAATAAATATAAATAAAATCAAAAGTTGTTTCATTTAACGGAACGGGGGTATAAGTTAGGTTTATTTTATATCAAATTTATGTAACACCATGAATGCACCACCATACATGCAATGTAACATCATATGTGTAACACGCGCTAAATTTCTTGCAACATATAACGTGCATATATATATATATATATATATATATATATATATATATATATATATATATATATATATATATATATATATATATATACTTATATATGTGCTGGAAGGAGACAATATTTTATACTGTACTGCATAAATTCTATACAATTCGGTATATATATATATATTTAATATCCATCTATTTATATATATCTAAACATTCAAAAAGTCAACTAAACCAAAAAATAAAAGTCAATAAATATAAAATATGAAAGGAATGTGAGTCAATTTAGAAAAACGCTCAACCTAACTTTAGGATTACAAAAGCGTTCTACTCCATAAGAATTAATAATTATTTTCAATTCATCATATGCTGTTACAATATTATGATTTCATCTGTAACAACTAATAAGAAACGGTAAGATAACTGAAATTATCTCCACGAGTTCCAAGCACGGATGCCAAAAGAACTTTATACAATTTCTTTTCATCATAATTATAGTGTAGTAATGATGAAAATAACAGAATGATAATAATAACTGGACACAAAGTAGCAAGGACACGTTGTAATAAAAAGACAGGAAGAACAACTGCGACGAAACGCTAATTTATGACAGCAACGTTTTGTTTTCAGTTCAATGTCATCAAGTAATCACTAAGTTGTTATTAAACTAATATTAAAACATTAAAATCATTATTGACGTTAAGCGATAATAATTTAAAAAGAACAACTAAAGCAATCAACATATTAAGTGCTGGTTAAGTTCCTTAGTTTAATGCCCCCCATCTTTCAGGGGATAATGGATGTTCAACCGGCAATTTAACTACAAAAACAGAATCGGAAAATGTTATTCTTACGGCAACATATAAATTGTTAAACGTTTATCAACATTATAATTTGATGGTGACTAGAACGTATGGTGCTTACAAATTAGAGAAACTGTACTTTACTGTACTTACATAGACGTATATATAAATGTGCTATAGAAAATATTGAAGGAGCAATCATTTCGTTGCAGAGGTTAGAGTTGAACTTGCAACGTAACACATTCACCGTCGTTTCAGTGACTCCTTAGACCTGCTACATTGCTATCATTATGTGTATATGTACGTACATGCATCGTTATATAGACATATATACATACATACATACAAACACGTAAGACAATAAGCAACATGATAAATTAGTAGATGAAGACGATGATTGAACGTTGTAGGGGGAGATGAAGTTGAAAGATTAACTGGTCTGTGGGGTGGACAGCAGTTGGCAGCTGGCACCCTCGCCATCGTTAGAAATTAGTGAATGAAATGTTACCTCGTCCCGTCTGCACATTTATACATTCAATTAACTCATTAAACTATCAACCAGCATTCGTTAATCAAAGTATTTCTGACTAATTAAAACTGTTTAACTTAAAGTACGGATTTATTAAATTTATTTATAAAAATATGTCAGTACAAGCGTATTAATAAAAGGTTCGTATTAAGTTTTGTTATTTTATCAGTTAATAACAAAAATGAGTGTAACCAAATCAGTTCTACGGGTAGGTTTCAATGAGGATAGGAGACAATTTGAAATTTCAGTGACTGATCACTAATTATATATCAATCAATCAATCAATCAATCAATCAATCAATCAATCAATCAATCAATCAATCAATCAATCAATCAATCAATCAATCAATCAATCAATCAATCAATCAATCAATCAATCAATCAATCAATCAATCAATCAATCAATCAATCAATCAATCAATCCATCCATCCATCCATCAATCCATCAATCAATCAATCAATCAATCAATCAATCAATCAATCAATCAATCAATCAATCAATCAATCAATCAATCAATCAATCAATCAATCAATCAATCAATCAATCAATCAATCAATCAATCAATCAATCAATCAATCAATCAATCAATCAATCAATCAATCAGCAACATTAATCTGTATCAGTTGATTGTTGGGTTCTAAGAAGAGAGTAGCAGTGTTGGCAAACACGAGCAGGTTTGGTTGTCTTCAAGTGTTTTATATCAATCTCAAATCGGCTACACCTGTAAGAACAAAAAAGCATATCTTGTTCTCCATCTTTTATTTTGTCTTTTATGTTTTTATATTTTCTAGTACAAACAGCAAACATTTTACTCGATAACGACAAATCTATGCATATGTTTCGACTGAAACACTTATTAGCAATTAAAATAATAGAAAGATACCCGCAAGAAGTGTTCGGTTGTGATAAAATTTAAAACAAAGTAAAACAAACGATTGAAAGACTGAGAAGAAAAATATACTTTGAGCAGAATAACTGGCCACAGTTTCTGCAGTGGTGTCTGCGTTCAGAAAATGTGAACTTGACGCTGCATTCCTGGCACGAATCACCCCCGTCATCCTTCACCCAATGGTCGGCCACCGCCCTTCCAGGCTGGTCCATCACAGACCAGCTATATATGTGGCCCTTCGCATCACCCACGTACAGTGTTTTGTGATCCCTAAGTGAGTTTGATCATCAATCAACACTCGTTCGTTCACTGTCAAACCGTGTTTGCACATGAAATACAACACATCATCAGTGGTGCTTATCTTAAATTGCACATCACAGCGCAGCACCCACCTGGAGATAGAGAGAGCAGTAATGGCAGCGGGGTCACGATTATCTTTCCTTTCAAAAGCTGTGTGCATCGTCAGCTTGCTTCTAAATACCAACTGCCTTTGCCACTTGAAACCTTCCCTCAATCCAATCTTTTTCTGGACTGGTGACTTTTGTAACTTCTGTGGCGCCGACAAGTGTTGAGGTATTTCTTTAATTTCCTCATCAGTGATAATGCAAAACTCCTTGCTGTACGATGATGAGGACGACGTGTCTCTCTCCTTGTTAGCACTGTCCAACGACGTGTCCGCGGATGCAGGCAGTTCCATGGAGTCAGCACTTTGATTTCCATCACAACTGAGTAGTGCAACCATTAAAATACGAATCACATCTCTGTTTAAACTTTTAGATGCAATATAATTTTACAAAACAAAATGGAATGTAAATGAAGGAATGGATGGATGAATACATTCATTAAGCGCCTAACTAACCCAGAAAGAGGTCGTACAGCTCTGAGAGCCTCTGCTGATAAAGGCGAAGGAGTGAATGACCTCTCTTTTCTAATTATTTTATCCTTATTAAAGATTGGATCCCATTCCGATCTGCCTGATATTCCTGACCCAACTTCCACCTCGTAATCATCTTCGCCCCAGTTTTTCTTTTTCTCGGCACTCTTTTCTAACCAGTCTTTCAGTAAACTACCTCTCCTGCTTGGTCCATCTTCCTCGTGTAATCTCTTTTTATCAAGCCGCTGCTGACCTGGTGGCTGCTGCTGTTGTTGTTCCTTCGTATTCCATGCTGTCGTCCGCTCATCCTCGGCACTTTTATTCTCTGAAACTTCCGCATTTCGTTTTCCATCTTTGACTTCGATGAATTCCAAGCTCCACATCTAAAAAGAAAAATAAAAAAAAACCAGGACTGCTATGCAGGACCAATAAATAATTTGAATAAAGTTTTGAAAAAAAATTAATAACCCTGACGACGCCATCACTGTTTCCTGTTATGATGACGTTGTTTGCGTCCCATTCTTTCATCTGTACATGCAATTGTTAATGAAATTTTTATAAATGTTATTGGCCAGAAAAAGGAGCCGACGACCCACAGAAGCAGAGCTTGATGGGCCACCGAAAACATTCATAAATAATTAAAATATTTGTTAGTGTATTATATATATATATACATTGAATATTTTCATACATCTAGTTAATAATTTACCTGTGACATGGTGACGCATAAGATCTGTTGGTTCCTGCTGGTTGCTGTGTTGATGTTGGCTAACTCTTGTCCGTTCACTGTCCACATGTGCAAGTACGTTCCAGAACACGTGGCTATGTCGCCCTGGTTACCATCATCCCGAAATTAAATAATTTGATAATCAATGTGACGAACATAAAAAAAAAAGATCAAATAATGAGGAGCATGAAGGCCCGCAGGAAGGTGCCAACTACCGACCGTGATGTCGTTGATGTAGATGGCCGCAACAGGGGCGGCGTGCCCTCTCAACTGCCTGACGAAGCACAACTTGTTCAGGTCCCAGACGATGCACGTTCGATCTCTGGAGCCACTGATGATGATGTTGTAAGCAGACGAGACGGTCAGACACGTGACCGCTTCCGTGTGACCGAACAAACATTTGCGAAGTTGGAGGGTGGGCAGACGACTGCCTCCATCTTTTCGAAGGTTCAACCTCCACACCTTTACAACCTGAATTGGCGATGACGACGATGATGATGACTTTTAATCGCCTCCTTCTGACGATCTTTGAATTTATCGATTTTAATTAATGAAAAAGGAAGAAACAAAAATGAATTAATGATATTATTCAAAAAACGAATCAAAATATAGATTAACAAATATCAACTGATATATGATAAATATAAACCAAAGATGGAAATTGAGTTAAACCGAAACGAAACTCAAACTGAGCCGAACAAACGGTCCTTAGCATAACTGAAACCGAATCAAATTTGCGGTGCTGCAATTTGCACATCTCTTCAAAAAATATCATCTTTAACCGGATGAACTTGGAAATGCTGTTGTGAACATTGCCGACTGTTGCAAAAAACTGAACAGGTGTGCAAGCAGCTTTTTAATTCTTCGATATATAATGCCTAAATTTTTATAACAGCCTAGTTTTAACAACCATCTTGTGTTCGTTCAAGATGGCCATTAATCTCAATTCCGATCCTTCCTAACCACTGTAAATTGCTGAAGAATTAGAACATTTTTGCATTTCCAATAAAAATAAAAAAAAACCAAATGAATAAAGAAAGAGAAACTCGGCAATATTGAACACAATTATTTTTTACAATTTTTTTCCTTTAACAAACATTTTAAAAATATCCTTTTTTTCTCACAGCAGAAGGTCGATCGAAATTTCTAACGCAAATATAGAACAACATATGAATAGGGATTACTAACAGTGCTTGTACCAGCAGTTAATAATGTTTTATCATTGGGACAAGCTGAGCACAGTATGTCACCCATGTCCACATTCTCCACCACTAATAATGCCTGTAACATTGAATAACACATTCATCCATCTATGAACTCATCCATCCATCTATCTCTCAATTTATTAGCTCACAAAATGAATGAAAAACACTTTCCATGACACTGACAACACAGGCGCTAACTTTTTCTGAATCGTAATTTCCAATCCTAACGCTCATATCAGGGTGGCCCCAGGCTAGGTACTTGCTGTAACTGAATGGAATCAGCGTTTTGTTCTGTTCCACTGCCAATAACGACTTGTCATTAGCCACGATCTGACCAACAGCCCCTTTCAATTCTGGCACGTGATTATTATCCAATTTTAAATTGCATTATAGTGCTTATGCAAATTTGAATCTAAAATCTCAGTAGGTAACGATTCGTTATTTCAATTTAAAATTAATTAAAGCAACACCGGCTGCCAGTCCAGATGATATTTTTAAATAAGCAGCAGTAATCAGTAATAAAATGATTGAAAACCTTTTATTGGCTGAAGACTTGGACTCAAGTTATCAAGATAATGAAAGAACAATTTTTCGCTGACTGAGTAACTAATACTGTAATAAGATGTAAAGACGGGCATGGTTCTGAGTGAGAGCTTCTTACAAGGGTGGGGCTTCTTAAACAACTGTTGGTCGGCACAACAATAACTCGTGCTTACGGCAACGTTCAATGACATTCATTAAATATAATTTTAATTGATTTTAGTTTATCTCGACAAAAAGAGCAAAATGACCTGCTTAGGTATTTGACCGAAATTGTTAATGAACCCGATTATGGCATTTTTCTTGAGAGGATCGTCGATGTCGTAGATGTTAACGTTGCCTTCATAGAAGAGGTGGTGGAAAACATTCACTGCATCAACTGCAGCTGCTCCTTGCTGCTTGTAACCAAATATTAAATCGATCCACTCGTGCAACTTCGCACTCACATAGTTTGATTCAAGTGCCTGGAAACCATCGTGAAAATGAGGACATTGTATTTTGGCAGATGATATTTTAGTGATGATGCAAATAACAAAACTTACGGAAAAACGATGAAAATAATTTATTATATTTCATTTTAAAACAAATGCAATTATATGAATACGCATGATCATGATCAACCTACCTCTCTGTGGACTCTGATGAACTCCCTGGGGTCACCTTTGGACCATGGTGGTAAAATGACGTCACCTAGCAATACGCCATTTTGTTTTGCCCCTAACATTTATTGGGTTTGAAAGAATTATTATTTGAAACGATAATCTTAAAACCACTACAAAACATCACTCAGTCAGTGTTGGCATAAGAAATAAAATAACGAACAACGAAATAACAAAACTAACAAGTCAAGAAGAACCAAACATTTAGTCAAGCAATCAATGGGATGAAACAGAATGAATAAATACTGTCGGCTCAAAGAACGGACACACAGAGGTGCACACCAGAGATGAGAATCGAACCCATTTGAGCACGAGAAGGGTTTGGTTTCGATTAAAGTTTGCGTTCGGTTCTGTCTGATCACGAACACGATTCGGTTTCCGTTCGAATTTATGAAAATATGCAATAACAAAATATGGCACGATGTAGATCGGGATCGATATTAAAAAGTTGAAAGTTCAGTACCGACGCACTGATAGACGCTAATAACATTTTATGCATGTACATGGAAAAACTAAACATGAAAAATACCTTTATAATAGAAGCATGTGTAATGTATACCAGCCGATACCACACATGTTAACGTATTTTGAAAAACAACTTCTTAAACATGGTGCTAATGTTAAGTAATTTCAATATAATTAAGATATGATTAAGGTAGTTACATCAATCAAGATAGTCCAAGCGATACAAATGTAAATCTACTCGCTTCGAATCATTTTGCATACATACAATGCGTTCGTTACATGAGCAAATGAATGTAGCCCTGTAATGTGTAAACGCGTACGCACATGCATGCGCCGATACAAACACAGGAGGCCTACATGGAAAAATACGTTGATGCATTGACGCTTGGGCGCAATTATCAAAAAAAAATCCGGCCCAATCCCGAAATCCAGTTCAATTTTAAACTTTTTAAACGGTCGAATTTTGACGGGAGCCTACGACAAAAACCAAAAATATTACAACGCATATTTCACTAATCTTATATCATTAATATCTACCGCTGCATTTCCCAGTCAGCGCTGTTATTGACATAGGGTTCCCAGCAAAGATGTAAAAATTTGAAACATTTGCAAATTCGACCCGGTCGGTACTGTTCGAAACCAGCAGTTTCAAAATTCAGGTTCGATTCAGTCTTAAAAAGAGTTCGAGTTCGGTTCGGGTTCAGTTCAATTCTCATCTCTAGTGCGCGCGCGCGCACACACACACCAAGATCAAAGTTATTAGAATTTAGAAGGAAATCAGGGAGATAGAAGAATTCAGGGATGAGCTCTTTGACGTCAGCCATGTTGTGCCTGGAGGCACTCAGCCATGCATCTTTTATGCTGTGGAACATTCTGTCCGCCAGGTCGAAATGCCCACCCTTCAAATGAAAAAAATTTAACAATTATTTCTTTATTAGTTTTTTCATTTGAATTATTATTTAAGTTTATTGCTTTATTTATTTATTTGTGGAAAAAATTTGTCTACATGCCTGCAACTTCAAAAATGTTTGAGTGAATGGCTCCAAGCGAACAAGGTAGGAGGCGACGATCATTGCAGACGAGTAGTGGGTGCCGTAGTGGTAAGGCGGCGTCTCACCTGTACAGTCGATCCAACAACAGTCAAGTCACAACTCCATACAACAGAGTTCATTCGAGTTTGTTACAGTTGAAATATATTAGAAACATGTCTGAAATGATCAAACAACGCTCAAATGTTTAACATTCACCTATTAACACTGATTAATGATGGTCTAGCATTGCCAGGTGATTTTTTAATGTTTGGGGATTTCAATTTACCTGAAATAGACTGGGACTGGGATACGTACAGTTGCAGTGGAGGTGAAGAGAAATTTGAAAACAAATTTTTAGATATCCTTAAAAATAAATTTTTGTTACAACACATTAACCAGCCAACAAGATTTAGATTTGGTCAGTCTGCAAATATATTGGACTTAGTGATTTCATCACAAGATTTTGTTAAAAACGTGAAATTTTATTCACCTCTTGGAAGCAGTGATCACTCTGTGGTTGAATTTATGATTGCTGATTTTGGACGTTTAACAGATATGAACTTGAAAATGTTTTGCTTCGATCTAGGCGATTACAATGGTTTGAAGTCGGCTCTGTTACCATCAGTGATTGATGTGTTTACAGACGATAGAAATGTCGAGGATGACTGGAAGATTTTTAAAGATAAACTGAGTTGTGGTACAAATGAATTTGTTCCAAAGAAAAGAAGAAACGTTGATTTCAAATTTAAAATGACCAATGATTTAAAAGTTTTGATAAAGCAAAAGCATGTAATTTGGAGGTTGATTTATAGATATGGAGAAGATAAAATTCAAAAATTCCGAACAATCAGAGACAAAATTAAAAAACATACAAAGTTGATGAAATTGCAGTCGCAAGAAAAAATTGCTCGTGCATATAAAACCAATCCTAAACTGTTTTGGAATCACGTGAAAAAAGTAACCAGATGTGATGATGTTGCTAGTCCATTGACTGAGGATGGAAGGGTGATAACTGATTCTAAGATGAAAGCTGATGTATTTGCTAACTTCTTCTACTCTGTGTACAGAGAGGATACTTCTTTTGATGATAATGATACTTCTTTTTATTTTGACTCCACTGATGTATTATCCCCAATGGCTGATTTGCTTATTGACGAAAGCATGGTATTGTCAAAACTTGAAAAGCTAAATACAAGCAAATCAGCAGGTCCGGATGATATACACCCACGAGTTCTATGGGAATTAAGGAAGTCAATCTGCTCCCATTTAAGTAGACTATTTCATCGTTCAGTTGATGAAGGCATTGTGCTGCAGGATTGGAAGCTTAGTCATGTCGTTCCTCTTCATAAAAAAGGCCGTAAGGATCTGGCTCAAAATTATCGTCCGATCGCATTAACTTCAATTTGTTGCAAGATTCTGGAATCTATGATAAAAGATCACATTATGAATTATTTTATGGAGAATGATTTATTTTCCAATGGCCAGTTTGGATTTATACCAGGTCGTTCAGCAGTCTTGCAACTTTTGAGGTTTTTGGAGATCATCACTGAGGGATTCGATCATGGTTATGAGGTTGATGTGGTTTTATATGGATCTTGAAAAAGCGTTTGACAAGGTTTCACATAGCCGGTTACTATTCAAGCTCAAACAGTACGGTATTAACAACAAGCTACTAAATTGGATTCAGAACTATATCAGTGGTAGGTCGTTTCAAGTAAAGCTTGATGGTACATTATCGGATCAGAGACCGGTTTTAAGTGGGGTTCCCCAAGGTGGGGTTCTGAGTCCGCTATTGTTTCTAGTTTATATAAACGATTTATCCTCTGTTTGTGACAATGTTTTGCTATTTGCAGACGACTCAAAAATTTTCAAGGTAATAAAAAGTGACGAAGATAAAATCATCTTTTCTCAGGATATTATAAAAATGGTTGATTGGTTTAGTAAATGGAAGTTAAATATAAATGTCAATAAATGCCAAATGTTAAGGTTTGGTTGCAACAATTCAGGTACACCAGTCACTATTGTAGACTGCAACGGACTGCCCTTTCGTTTGCCAGAGGTTGATGAGATATCAGACCTCGGAGTGATCTTTGATGCCAAGCTTAGGTTCAAAAGCCAAATCTTGAAAAGTGTTCATAAAGCTAACTCCATGTTGGGGATTGTTGCTAGAAACTTCAAGAATTTATCAGAAGAAGCTTTTGTCTTGTTGTATAAGTCGTTGGTGAGGTCTCAGTTGGAATATGGTGTTCAAGCATGGAAACCTTACAAAATTGGTTTAATTTTAGAAATTGAAAAAATCCAAAAAAGAGCAACACGTTTGGTTAATTCCTGTAGGTCTCTTCCTTATATTGACAGATTAAAGAAACTTAATCTGCCTTCACTCGCGTACCGTCGTCGGAGAGCGGATCTTATTTTGCTGTTCAGAATGTTACGTGGCGAGGCTTCTGTCAAGGCTAGTCCAACGCTACTATTTTCGTCCGACGATCGTACGAGAGAACACAACTGGAAACTGACTACAGGACCATGTCATAAAGATTGTCGAAAATTTTGCTTCTCATACCGTGTGGTAGACGACTGGAACAGACTTCCTTCTGATGCCGTCAACGCTGATAACATTAACATTTTAAAATCATTATTAGATTCATTTTTTGGTGACTCCATATTTGATTGCCGTTTGAATTCATAATTGTTCCTTTTACACTATATAGTACATTCAATAGTTATCATCTTTTACACTTTAATTAATTATGTTGTTTTATTTTGTTGTGTTGACTTGTGTATTATTATTTATATATATAAGATAAGTTTATTATGTACATTACCTATTTTATTTATTTATGGTTTATATTTTCGAATTTCTATATTTTTGTTTGGCAAGGGGTTCTGCCCGTGCTGTTTTGAATAATAATAATAATATTTAAACATCTCCACTGATCGTTATAATTAATCATTACCAGTAACATCATCTTCATCAACGACATCCTTTTCATCATCAACAACAACATACCATGTGGATCATCCCAATCTGAGAACCTCTTTTTGAACTGCTTCAACCTGTCGGCGGTTTGTGCTCCCATCGGATTTGCAAGATCGCGAAATGTGAAAGGATTAGTAAAATCCAGTTCCTTCAATGCAATTGGTTTATTGATTGATTGATCGATTGATTGATTGATTGGTCGATCTATTGACTGAGTAATTTGTTGATTAAATGATTGTTCAGCCAAGCAAAAACAGACATTGTTAGCGATATTTCCAATATAAATCATTGATTTTAAAATCCACTTCTCAATGAAAATGGCGCCATTAACGAGATTTCGCTATTAACAACAAACCAATAACTATTAATCAATGAACCAAGCAATCACTTGACTGTCCGACAACCAACCGACCTACCGACCTACCGACCGACCGACCGGCCAACTTACTTCTGAATCATAATCGGCAACGATCCATGGAAAGACGGGGTACTGCATGAGATCGTTGTAGGACCGGCCAGCAAGTGTGTTCAAGCACATGAGGTATTCAAAGTTGCTTATCTCACCTCGCTGAATCAATCAATCAATCTATTATAATGACAGCAATTAAATCGAAGATGAGGATGAAGATAATAACGGCGGTGAAGATGGTGATGAAAAAGTTTATGGAGTAGATGATGATGAAAAATTGAAGATGAAAAAGAAGAAAAAGGTGATGAAGATGATGACGAAAGTGTGAAAATGAAGAAGAAGATGATGACGATGAAGAAGATGATAAAGATGAAGAAGATGACGCTAGCCTCCCAACGCTGTGTGACTGACTTCTCCCCCATCAGAGATCCGATGATTCCAGCACTGAACGGCAGGATGGAGATGATGTTTGAATAAAATTAACGTCATATCCATCAGGAGTTATTACATTTTATTTATTCATACATTTCTTTGTTCACTTGTTCAATCAGAGAAACAAAAGATTGAAATAATAACGCACGAGAACACATTTGAAGTTTAACCTCTGCTCTACTTTGGCATTCAACCTTTGACCTGACACAGATTCTTGTGCACTGTCTGTCAGTGATGTTCCCAGCGTTAGAAATCTTTTCATAATCAGAAAATAATTAATATTATTTTATATGAGTGATGATGAGTATAATAATAAACAGCCAGCCAGCTAGCCAGCCAGCCAGCCAGTCAGACAATTAGCCAACCAGCCCTCCAACCGACCAACCTCGAATAAATTTTATTTCTCATCTTCTTGGGAAAAGCAAGCAGGAAGTTCCTGCCATCAGCTGAGAAAATCTCAACGGCGATTGGCTGCAGCAAGTATCGTCTCTTATGTACCTCCCGCATGTCACTGAACGCCATCTTGAACGACCTTGTTTGCCAATGACGTCATCATCATCATCAACAACAACATCATCATCATCATCAACAACATGAACATCATCTTCATCATTTTTGTTATCTAATCAGGGTTATTTTAAACAAATTGACAGCATCACTATCATCTTCATAATCATTTCAAGTAACCAGCATAATAAAAGAACAAAAAAAAACATCCATCCATCCATTTATTCATCCATTTATCCATCCATCCATCCATTACTTTATTCATCCAATCATCCATCCATTTATTTATTCATCCAATCATCCATCCATGCATTCAACCACCAACATGGCTTTAGATATCACATGCTTTCCAGTCTTTGGGATGATTGGATCGTGGGAACTACAAAATTTTGTGATGGTTCCATTGTGATTTTGGTTGCGATGGGTTGGTTGTGATAAGTTAGATGATGTGACTGGCTGATTGAAAATTGCTGATAGTAATCAAAATATATAAACACACCCACACACACACACGCACGCACACACCGCACGCACGCACTCCTCAACCCTTAATGAATGGCTAACTCAGGTGGCAAGCCGTCAATGGCAACGATGTCAGTGATGTCCTTCGAAGTGATGAGCGTGTAACCATCAACGATGTAGAAATGTTCTCTGGCGAACAACAGCAGACCCTCCATCGTGTCCAGGCCTTGGATGCGTGCACATCTGAACATGTTCGTTATCTGCTCGCCGCCGTGTTAGGAATGACGATGATGACAACGAGACAACAGCAACAAGCGATGTACGTACGTGTCAGCCAGCCACGCATTAACAATAATAGTTAACCATTGTAGTTAAGTACTTGTTATAAAGGATAGTAGGTAACTATTTTTAACGAGAGTAATTACAACCACCTCTTAACCACTGCCTAGTTGTTAAAAATTATTTTTTTAATTTCGTTCAGACGTTCAACAGCCGCTGATTGCCGGAAAATTTTAAAAGTTTCGACGCGTTCAATAAATAAATAAAAATCTAGCTAAAATGAATAAACTTACGTAAATTGTTAACATTTTTCAATTGTATTAGTCATATTTGCATGCGAGATGTGAAAGTTGTTTCAAATCAAGGAGGTTTCAAATCTTAAGATCCATGCAGCCATTTCAACAGGCTTGCAAAAAATTTTTTAAATGACAATAATCTCATCTTACTGAACTCGATGTTTATAAAATTGTTCGTACAATCTCAACGGACAATAGAAAAACATGTTGAGAGAAATCTCATAATGCTAATGACACATGCCAGAAAATAGTAGTTATTAACTACAATAGAGGAAATTAGTAGCTACCCCTTTCTGAACAACAACAACAACAACAACAACAACAACAACAACAACAACAACAACAACAACAACAACAACAACAACAACAACTACAACAACAACAACAACAACAACAACAACGACGACGACGACGACGACAACAACAACAACAACAATAATATTAACGATCGCAGATGTACAGTGTAATAGCAACAAGCGGCGTACCGTCTCTCCTTCCTCCAGCAATCTATAAATAGCTTGCTCGTTGAACTGGGACTTCCCCTTTGAATCGACCTCAGCTGATGACGACGTAGACGATGACGTGATAGGGGCAGTTGTGACGTCAGCATCGATTTCATTGACGTCATCGTCAATGGTTTCAGCAAGGTCGAGTTCAGATTTCAATTTTGATTTGTTGAGGTTGTCCAGAAGCTCGGAGGGCATCTTTAATTCAGTCACTGTTTAGTTGTTTTGAATGAGGAAAATTTATTTTAAAATATACTGTCAATTTATTAATATAATTTTTGTCATTCAACAGTGTTTTTTGTTATCTGTCAGGAAGATGAAACAGCTCTTGTTTGATAGTTTTAAAAAGTACCAACTTGATCAACTGAAGTTTCAAACTTTAATAATTTCTCAGTCAAAATAATATAAACTGGATAGGACTGAAACTGACTCAAATCAGAACTGCCGACGACTTCCGCTTCATTATCAGGCCTAAAAGAATCATCATCAGCACTACCGCTAGTGAAAATCGTCTGATCACGTGATGGAGCAGTTGCTGAAGCCGCTGTTGACGTCATGATTTGATTTTGACCCGGTGGGAGGAGCTGTCTGCCTTCAATGAGACTGTACGCCTTGTACGTCTGTGTGTACGGTTTGCTGTCTAGACTGATGGCTACCTTGTACTTCATCTCTCTCTGATTGAGAGAATAAGGAGTGAGTTTTTCATCAAACAAACCAATCAATCGATCGATCAACCATCCTATCCAACCAATCAATTAGCCAGTCTATCAACCAATCAAAAACCACTACTACCGTTAATAATAATAACAATAATGCAAGCGATATTAATACCAACAAAGTTATCAATACAACGGTTGTAGTTGCTATTACAACTACAACAAAAATACTTGCTCACCGATGTTGTTCAATTAAAACTTTTAAACAAAGGAATGACGCTGAAAATGAAACAACAACGTTTAACAGCTGAAGAGACAAAGTGTTAAGACTGAAGATTGCTCTATAAATTGGGAATACAACAATTTAGCGATGCAACCGCTGATCTATTATGAACATCAGACCAAAAAATGAATGAGCAAAAGAAGGAAAGAAGAACAACATTTGCTTCGACGACGGGTCTGTATGGGTAGTGAAGGTAGAAGTCCACATTCCTGATCATCTTCTTCCTCATCCTGCATGGACCTGCCAGTGTGGTCGTGTGATTGTTATTTATTATCATGCCTACATTTTTAAAGTTCTCGCTTCAACACCACCACAACAACAACAATACACCCCCATCATCATCATCATCATCATCATCAGCAGCAGCAGCAGCAGCAGCAAATAATTAAAAATGAACAACCTTCAGTGACGTCAAGCATCCACTTATCCAGATCTGATCCGACCTGCGGTCCCCACAGCCCTCTCTCCCTCATCAACTCCCCCTCAATTTCCAGCCACTCTTCTTCTAGAAACTGCATCGTGCGTTCTTGGTTCTATAGCGGATTGGTGTTGTGGTTGTTAGCATTGTTGTCTCTGAAAAACAAGCGAGCAAATGAACAAACGAACGAACGAACGCTCACCTGTATATATTGGCTCAATCTGAGATCAACAAGATCACAAATGATTGAGAGATGGGAAGCTGTTCCATTCAGCCATTCGTGTTGAGTGGCATACACCTGCTTCCCTATGACCTCCTTTCTAGGCTTCCTATTGGCCAGTCTCATCATGCCCTGACCTACTTTTTGCAGCTTCTAGAGATTGGTATTGAAATATTTCTAGACATTAATTTAAAAATCTCATCGTCGTCGTCGTCATTAAAAGCAGCAAAAAGAGCATACGGCGTGCAGCTGAGAGTTCATCCTGTCAGACTGACTGTAGAGATTTCTCCTTTCATTCTCGTAGTAGTTCAACCAAACTTTTGTGGCTGCATCGAGTATTTGAGGCCTGTCAATCGACCATTATATATTTGCATATACAGAACTTAGCAGCATCAAAAGAAGTTCATTTGCATTGGGACAGCAGGTGGACGCAGAACTAACCAACTGGAAAAACACGTACACAAAAATTGTTGAACTAACTTGATGTAGACGAGGTCTGGCGAAGACAACTTTTCACATTATTTGGATCACTTGATGCCGTCAACGTCACCTTGAATATCTCTTCAATGACCTTTTTGATTAACCAACGACAACCATGAACATCAGCAGTTTTATCACATTTGATAGCATCATACTATTGTCGTCCTTTTATTTAAAAACACTGCCCCGAACAATAATGATGATCATCATCTATATTATCACATGCTCCTTCGAACCGTCATCACCACCACCACCATCATCATCATCATCCTCTTCATATTCATCATCATCATCATATTCATCGTCATCACTAACTGGTTTTTTAGAAATAAATAATTCATCCCAGACTTTCCTAGCATGCGATGCCAGACTCTGCAAACTGTCATTCACCAGCATTCTGTTGTTGCTGTCGCTGTTGTTGTTGCTGCTGATGCTGCTACTGTCATCCTTAGTTGAGGTTGGTGCGTTTTGATTGGCGGGAGCTTCAAAGCAGGTTGTTGGTTCGACGTGCCATGTTGTCGTTCGGAGGGCTTGTGGACTGCTGCATTGTTCGTGGTTGTTGAACGTTTGAGGTTGAAATTGAAATCTCACTTGAAATTATGCTCGTTAGCTTCTACATTTTTGGCACTAACAAGGCCGAACGCGGAGCTCAGCAGAACCAGATTAATAGAAGCAGTAATGTTACGACGATAACAATGACAACATCAACTATGTACAAGTTCATGGCGGGCTGCATATTTTATTTACACTGAATGTGCCTCGCTAACTCTATCCACTACATTTTTATGTGCAATCGATCGATCCTATCCTATGTTAGCAATGAACAGGCACGTCAGCACCTAAATTCAGTCACCGCATGCATCCACCTAAGAAATAGACAAACATAGGTAGATAAGTACAAAGAAGTGAAAGGAATGAACACAAACAGACAAGTAGAAAAAAAGTACACACACACGCACACACACACACACACACACACACACACACACACACACATATATATATATATATATATATATATATATATATATATATATATATATATACATACATACATACATACAATACAGCGCTTGTTGTTGAATAAATTTATTTCAATTCAATTTGAAATATATACTATCAAATTAATTTTGCTACAAAAAATTAAGAATAAGGCTGAATACAAAACAAGTGAAGCAACTAGGTGAAGAGACTTGCTGGCATAAACTATGTTACGTAGAGCTAAAACGAAACATAAAATGAATCTAAACTAAATAAACACAATTAAACCAACTAAAAAAATGAACACACACACACGCACAAACAAACATTTGCACACATGGCTAAACTAAAAACCGAATGTAATAAAGAAATAACAAGACCACTGTTAATTAATAGAGATAAACTAAACTGTGGCACTAAAAAATTAACTGTAAGTGAATGAATGAGGGACTATATTTGAATGAACGAATGAATGAAAAATAAATGAATAAATTAATGAATGAAAACATGAATAAATGGATGGATAAAAAATGAATGAATGGACGAACAAAAGTCAAATCCAGCAAACAATTAGAAAACATTTCTATTCCAAACCAAAGTGAAAATAATATGGTGTAAACATTCAAGCGAAGAGGTAGGTAAGGTACCTTACTAATCGTTCACCATCCACCGCCAAACATTTGCATCTAATTTTTGCAGTAAATTTTAGTCATTAAAATTGAACTAAAGAACAACGTAGCTTATTGATAAACATTATGAAATTCATACGTATTATCTGAAGTTACTTCAATGTATAATGCTATGAGGATGGGCTATGAGGATACTGTAACTATTTAAACTATTTAAAACAATTACTGAATAAAAATAATAATAATGATTATTATTTTTTTATTATTAATACTATTAAAATTATTATAACGAATACAACTTGATGTTATTGGGGTTGAGATCACACATTTGCAGGAGACAATAGCACAGGCAGCCAATAAACTCCGAGTCGAAGTTACTGGGACCAAAAATCAAAATTTTATTGGTCAGTAACTTTTGAAGAGTCTCCTTGACCCCTTCGAAGTCAGCCAATGAGGTGAGGGGACGGGAAAGTTGGTAGAGTATCGTTCGATTGAGCGACTTGTAAACATTGTCAAGACATAAACCAGAGGCTGTTGAGTGAATAAATTTGCATATAATTAATGTTCAGTATTGATAGATTTGCATATTTGCAAGCACTATGATGGCAATCACTGACCTTTTCGTTTAGCCTGTGAGATAAGCAGATTGATGAAATCAAAAACCTCATTTGGGTCCCGTGTATAAGCACCTACAGTTTAAAAGTCAAATCAAATTTTTTTATTGTTGCATATCAAAAAGACAAAAAAATGAGTAAATATTAGCCGATAGGTAGATAAACGCGTGTTTCGCATTAAAATGTGCAAAAAACTCAATACGCTTAAAAAATAAAAACACAGGAACGAAAACAACAGATGAGGAGCACACCTTGCCACAACTTATCGACCACCCGCCCCGAAAAGTAGAAGACGTTGGCTGCCAACTGCGTGTAACTGGATCCACCGGAAATGGATAGTGCTCCCTGCTCTCCCATCATCACGTCGGCTGCCAACAAGTGGTCCATCACAACGTTCAGTATTTCCGTTTGGAACTGTTTGCACTCTTGCCTAAAAGAATGATCTGGAGATACCTGGGTACGATGGGGAGGTGTTGATGGGGGTGAGAGAATAGTAGACATTTTGTGATGATGATGATGATGACTGGAGATAACTTAATAGAGGCGCTCTACAAATCTACAATTCAATACAATACAATTCAATACAATACAATTCAATACAATACAATACAATTCAATACAATACAATTCAATACAATACAACACAATACAATACAATTCAATACAATTCAATACAATACAATACAATACAACAACAACAACAACACACGTTTAGACGGCATTTTCCCCGAGATCAGGGGTTGCCGTTTGGCTACCTATGATGAAACCAAAATACCCCTCGACGCCATCCACATCTGTCACTCGCCTCAGTATCACGCAACCCCGCTTTCACCCTGTCCTTCTCCACCTGCTCTCTCCATCCCAATCGCGGACGACCCCTTCCTACCACTCCTTCAACCTCGAACTCCAACGCTCGCCTAATCCCGACCCTTTCATCCCTTCTCAACACATGTCCATACCACCGCAATCTCGATCTCCTTATCAATGTCACAAGGTCCTCATTCAGTCCCATCATTGACATCAGCTCTGTACTACTCCTCCTATCCTTCACTTTAACCCCACACATCATCCTCACCATAGCTCTTTCAGCCAATTTCAATAGCTCTTTCAATACAATACAATACAATTCAATAAAATACAATTCAACGATACTGATTAGAATGAAACAAAAATTTAATGATGCAGCAGCAGCAACAAGATCTGGCAACCGACCTCCAGAACCACATCAATGACAGGCAGAGATTTGTTAGTGCAGGACAGGGCCAAACTGTTCAAAATAATTCTTCTCAGAAAGTCAACAACAAATTTTCTGGCGACATGCGATGTCAAGGAAACTGCTGGCAAAATGTCATTTAAATATTTTCAACATTTGTTGATAGAAAAATAATGTTATCAATTCGAACAGTGCTACATGGCCTCGTTAGATGACCATAACCACATTCATGAACCGACCTTTTTCAGAAGTCGGGGCCGAAGTAGAGAGCTGCTCTACGCTTGAAAAAGGCTGCAAATTATAAGGCGGAGTTTGAACATTAACTTTATAAATATTTTCAGGTTGTTATTATTACTTTTATCGAAATTATTCAAACTTTCATTAACTAAATCAGATCTGGAAAAGTAAATAAATTTGCCACCTAGTTAAAAATGTCATGTCTCGCACTGCTATTGCTCGATGGCAAGGTTCGAATCCTGTCTCTCCGAAACTCAAAGACCATCATATGCGTATGATGCGGTGCTTGCGCGTGCACACGTAATGTGTATGTGGATGGTACATTCTTGTGACTCAAAAGTTTCATTATAAAGATAGAGCAGCAACATGCAAGCAGTTCCGCGCCTGATAGGGTTGCATTGTAAAGGATGGAAAAATAACATTTAAAAATGAATACAAACTCTGAAATCATCAACAGACGATTCCGAATTGTTGACGTCGGCCAAGCAACTTGACCTTAGAAGAAACAAAGTTGAAGAGAGGGCATTCAAAAAATCGGGCGTCATGCAGAGAGGCACGAAATCTGGTTGGTTGTGGTAGAGGTAGAGAAAGAACTGCAGGGCTACGATTGGATAGTCTTTCACCCAGGAATCTGTTTCCTGGTCGATGGACTAAAGAACAAAAATGGATTGATTGATTGATTGATTGATTGTTAGAATGAATGAAGATAAAAACAAACCGAGCAACTAAAAGCCGTCCTGACAAGAGAGAGGATAATGACAGCAGCTTCAATGCAGTACTCCAACTTCAACTTGCTCACCTGCAGTGGTTTGCCGTCTGACACCTTGAACACCTGGGTCCATATTGAGTCCAGATTGAACTGTATACATGATGATGATGATGATGATGAAGAGATGATGATGATGATGAAGAGATGATGATGAAGAGATGATGATGAAGAGATGATGATGATAGCTGAGGTAATTATAATGTAGATTGTGAATCACCATGTAATGCACGCGACAACAATGAATAAATATATGGGGTAGAAGACAAGTAAAACAATTTTGAGATCAATAAGCAAGCCAAATAAAAGTCTTAAATTTTCAACTGCAGGAAAGAAAATAAACACGATTGACAACCAGCTGACTGACTTCAACATTCTCAGGGATATCTGTAATTGGTTGATTCAGCATAAACATGACCAGCAAGAAATAGATCTTTGATAGGGAGGCATGCTGTGGCAGCAGCCAGTTGAGACACATGAAGCCAGGAGTGCTGCACAGCTCCATGGCAATCTCTCTTGAAGTACGACTGCCAATTTGTACACCTAACAAGTTTTGTTCGTGCTTGAGTCACTTTTTTACAATTTCAAATCTATTTTTCAAAAAATTTATTCAAGTCCATATAGCAATTTTAACAATTGTTACACGAACGCAGTAGATATAGATGGAAACATGCACACACATTCACATCAAAACTTACACCGTTACATACAAAGTTAAATGAACGAGAGATGTTGTTTTTGCACTTCGCGAGCGCTTTTGATAAATTTTTCATTTTAATTGGTACTCTATAAGTGGTGAACAATAAACAAACAAACATATACACACGCACACACACATATATACACACACACGCACACACACGCATAGATAGATAGATAGATACACATGACACCGACCGGCAAGAAGGGACATTCGGTTGCCGACGACGACGCACTGAGCATCGGTGAGCCACCCTCCACACCCGACCCCATCTCTGAATTTCTGCTGCAAGAAAGGATGATGCTGAAGGATGCAGAGGAGCAGTGAGAGGCTGCATGTGACTGTGGACGAGTGGATGTGACCTTGCAGGAACAACAAGAACCAATCAAGGCCCAGGGTCTTGTGGAGGTCTTCGCAGAATCTAAATAATTATGCGTGCTTGTGTGTCCGTGTGCATGTGCTGATCGTACCTTATTTAACCAGAAAGGTTTGTGATGGCAAACAGAAGACAATCAGAGAAAAATGAGGACATTGAATTGAACGAAAATCTCAAAAGTTTTTAAAGTAAAGAAGCAAACAAACTGAGAATTCAATTGTTGAAAATGTTTGTGAGCAAGTGGGACTGCAGATGATGTTGTTGTTGACGAGGACGACGGCATGAACGCCAGCTTCGATATGATATCCAAACAAAGATTTCTCAATCTGATGATGAATATGGATCTGGATCCTGTGTTATCAAACAATACATCTGACGGGTTGTCGGCGCTGCTGATGTTGAAAGATCTTTCATCCACTGAATTTGATGGGAGGAGGTTTGCAACAAACTGACCAAACCTAAAAATGTTGCAAGTCAACGTATGCATGGCGTAAGACGTTGAAAGTTTTTATTTCAAAATGCATACGTAACAGCGTGCATTTTATTATCACTGAATGATTACATCATCATCATTATTATAATAATTATTGTTTTAATCATCATTATCCTCATCCATTTCCTTATCCAACAACGTCATAATCCTCATCATCACCATTCTCATCACCATCGTCACCATCAAGAGCCATGCAACCACCTGAGCAATGATCTGGAATGATAGTTAGGACCGGAGAGGAGATTATGGAGAACAGAGGAAATGATGTTCATGGCGTTCAGTGATATGTTCTCATCGTAAGCAACATTCAACAACTTATCCACCAATCCAAGCTCCAGCATTATATTCTTGTTCCACGGTTGGTCACTAGACGGATGAATTAAGATGGACAGGTGGCATGTTAGTATGAGCTACTAGGGTGATTAATCAATATAGAGACTAAGAGATTAACTAGGGAGGTAATCATTCATTCAATCAATGATGCAATCGATCGTTGAGCCAAGCAGCCAACCTGGATTCAGTGAGGAGGTCAAAAAAATGCTCATACAAGGACTTCTGAAGGTCGCAGGGAGCCTTTTTCCAAATCTTTACAAATAATTAATCAACAACTAAACGAGTATTAAATAAATAAAGGAACAAATAAAAATTTGAACAAGCAAACGAAAATATCCACCCATCCGTCTACACATTCACCCATTGATAACTCGACCAACTAACATCCAAATCAGCCAATAGGCTTTCAAAAGCGCCCTTATTGGATATAATTGAGTTCTCCCTGCCACTATCGACAGTGCCGACCAATGAGAAGGTCAGATGCAGGATGTGACTGTTCAGCAGGCGGCACTTCTTCTTGAATATCATAGCTAGGTGCTGGCGTTCAACAGTGGATTCATTGATGGATTGATTGCAATAAATGAACAATCAAATAGATGAATTAATAAAGTAAAGAAAAGTTTATTGAAAAAATAGATAGCAAAGAAAGAGAGAAAGAAAAATAAAAGAATGAATAAAGAAACCTGGTAGCCCTTATTCATGTCCATTTCTTTGCATGCCTCTTTGTTGCTTCGTACAACACAGACCAGCGCTTTGACTGAAGCATACAACCCTGAGAAGGATAAGTGCTTGCGTGTGCGTGTGTCGACTTTGACTCACGCATATGTTTGTGCGTGTGTTTGTAACGTAAACATTTTCAGTTCGCATGCTTTGTGTGTGCATGTCAGGGTGTGTGCATGTCGTGTATGAATAGTACAAGTGGGTGTGATTCAAACAAACAAATAAACAAACCTTCAATATTGTTAGCCATGGCAATCAAACCAAGCAATGAAGAGGTGCCAGCAACACTCATGATCACCTTTGCCACTGGTTTTGGGCAAAATGTACGAACTCCTTTGAGGAAAGTATGAAGTTTGATTTCAACTAAACAATTAATCAACCAACCACTCAATCAATCAATCAATCTATCTATCAATCAGTCAGTCAGTCAGCCAGCCAGCCAGCCCAACAACCTAGATATCCAATGAGGATGGCTCCAAGACCCCTGGCAGGCCCTGCAAGATGACCCACGGAATTGTGGAGGATTCTGATTGGAGAGGCGTTTTCGTGTGCCGACATGCCGAGTTGTTTCGCAACATTCTTGGCATCGACCTTGTTGAATATCTTCCTTATCTTGGCGGTCGTCATCACTGACATGGCGTGAGCGTGGATGCCAAAGATAATTTTCTCTTCGTTAATCAGTGACGAGGACGACGACGACGATGAGGATGATGAGGACGACGACGACGATGATGATAAGTGGGGGCCATCTTTTCTATCTGCTTGTGATTGTTACAGAAATAACTGCTAGAAATTTATTACGTCGGTGCCGAAATCACGATATCGCATCGTTCATTTGTAAGTGCAATCACTTAGCTCCTATTTAAAAATATTCAGTCGAAATAAAAATCACAGACGAGGCAAGCGAGTGAATTGAGCAGACGTTATAGAGTGAGAAAGAAGACTCGTAAGCAGCCAACGAACCGTGCGCAAGTATGGCGGCTTGAAAACTGCCAGTGTAGTTGGGACCGAGTTTGTAGATGAACTGAACGACGGAGAGAATGAGTGCATCCTCAAATAGGTAGCAAGCACCCTGCCTCCATGACAACTGTGATGTCCGACGAATGCACGGAGGAGTTCCAATGAATGCATAGATGGACGCAATGTAGGACGATGTCGATGGAACCATGTACGGAGTTGGGTAATGCAACTGTGTGTATGTGTGTGTTTATGTGTGTGTGTGTGTGTTGCATAATTTATTTATTCATTTATTCATCATCGTTAACAACTCATCACACATTTATTTAGTACATGTTACAATGGTGAAGATAATGATAAGAGAGGTGATGGGAAGCAACCTTGAAAGTGCCGATGGTTGAACCGTTGACGACGACCGATAGACTGGAGTTCTTGAGCATACCGGACCTGTGCAGCATGACGACCAGGTGGTGCCACTGACCTTCCTGGGCCAGTTCAGGGCAGTGCATCCTGATTGTCGTGCAATCATTCCATGTCACCGATGTCGTCGTCGTCGTTGAGGTGTTGTTGTAGTTTGTTGATGAAGATGTTGTTGAGTTGTTCGTGATTTGCGTTGTCGATGGTGCAATAGAGTCAAAATCCATTTCGGCAGAGGCTAGAAGAATGATGACCACGATGATAATCGCAATGATGACCACAACAAAGTGACATCACAAAACATGCAGCACTAAAACACCACAACAAAAAAAACACAGAAACAAACAAACACATACACAAACACTAACCTAAATTACTCAACATAGTTTCTTGTGTTGAAATAATCAAGGACCTATCCTTAGCAGAGATATAGATGGATAGGCAGACCAAGTTGTCATCTCTGACTGATCTGACAATGTTGAGCAGTCTAACTGGATGGGCGTCGGTGGCTGCATTGCTGAATTTGTCGACACAGATCCACGATGAGTACGTCAGTCCCATCGAAGGAGGAAATGTGCGTTCACCTTTTGTTGGTATGCGTGTGTGTAAGCTGTTTGTGTGTGCAAATTAGAGGTGAGCGGGAATTGAAATTTACTCCCAATTTCCTTCAATTTTTTCCCATTCCCGATTCCCTTCCGAATTCCCATTTATGACAACGTTCCAGAAAATTCCCATTCCCTACTTTTAAACTCATTACCACGTTTTCCCTCCAGCCTCACATTTTCAGAATTTTTTAACACAAAAAACAATTTTTTTTGAAAAAAAAAAAAAACAGATTTATGAACACGTCTTCATCATCAAACAATGTAAAAATTCAAATGTTCTAAAAGTCATAAAACAAATGAAAAACTTTAATATTTAAATAAAACATTTGGCCGAAATAGTGCACTGCATTAATTAACAAACATATAAATAAATTAGATTTCAATTGTTTCAGACAGTCATCCGAAGAATAAAAATAAGCATAAGCCAATCACAGTCAGAAGGACAATTGTCATATAACATCGATGTTTGTTGAAAGCCTTATTCACACAAACAAATAATTAAATATAAAAATACACAAAAAACTAAAAGACTTCCCTTTATTTTCTTTCGATTATAGCCTGCTACTTTTCTCGTCTATTAAATACTGCAACTCAATTTAGGTTACGGTTGAAGTTATATAGAATATATTGCCAAATTCAATAATTAATTTAAATTTACTAATTTTATTGTAGATTAATGCAACTCGACAAACAAAACTCCGAAGACAAACTTATTGATTAGGAAGTGATTGAGTAGTAGTCAGAGAAGGAGGTAGAGAGTTCAAGAGAAAAGATCCAGAAAATGCAAATTTAGCAAAAGTGTTTTTAACACGAGTTAACAAGAAATGAGAACAAGAAGACGATCGTAAACCAAGTCGTTTAGGTTCAAGATAAGAAAAGATAGGGGCACGAGCAACTAGACGAGCAGTAGAGTTAAAAGTTTTACTTAAAGGATAGAGTGTTATATAGGGCTATATAAAGTTGTATATAGTTAGATAGGGTAACACAGAGTTGTATAGTAATATATATATATATATATATATATATATATATATATATATAGTTATATAGGATTATATAAAGTTATATAGACTTATATAGATTTAGGGTCATATAGAGTTAAGTTGTATTGAATTACATAGAGTTATATAAAGTCTTATAGAATGTACGAGATACATATACATACATACATTTAAATTCAAATTCAATTCAAATATTTTATTTGATCCAAACAAAACAAACAAAATTCGTAATCGGGAGATCCGGAAGTAGAAAATAAATTGTTCTAGCGGGCTACCCTGGACAAGATTAGCATGACCATAAAGATAACGTAAAATAAAAATAAATAAATTATCCAGAATATACTAACGTAAAATAAAAAATAAATAAATAAAACGATATATATACATATAGGAATTTTCTTAAAAGCTTGGTTGATTTCACGTGATTCCATATGGTAGTTATCTTCTATGTTAACATACACCTATGGTGTATGCGTCGATCCCATGTGTACGAGCATACATATTTAAATATTTATATAGGCCTTTATTTTTGCACGTAGATGTCATTTTTCCCACCCCCCACTTATTCCCGAACAGCGATTCCCTATTCCATAAAATTCCCATTCCCGACAATTAAGTTCCCTATTGGGAATCCCATAGAAATTGGTAAATCGGGTATTGGTAAATTGGGAACTCTAATCCGTTCCCGTGCTCACCTCTGTAAAGATCAGAGTGTGGAAGTGTGTTTTAACTTTTGAAGTGTGGTTATATCCAGTAGTGAATATTTACCAATGTATAAAAAAATGGCCAGAAAAAATAGAAAAATAAAATATGATTAATGAAAACTTAAAAAACAACAACAACGTAACAACAGGGGCGAACCATTTCCAATGCCACCATGTACTGACTGGTCAACACTTCCCGTGACTCCTCCCATCATGCCCGCAGCAACCAGGGAGGGAGTCAACCCTGATCCCTGAGGTGCCATGCTGGGCAGATACAGACATCCAAATCCCTCCATCTGCATGTCGAACTCAACAAAGGCTGGCATTGTGCTCGTGCCTGATAACCTGATGTCTCTCGGCGTCGTCATAGACACTAAACATTTAACTCGAGTCAGAGGCACTAAGCCACCAGTCAGCAAAGTGGCAGCTGTCGTGTCCGAAGCTATGGACGATGTTGACCTGGTTTTGTGGTCTCTATTCTCTTTTAGTGGGTTGGGTGTTGGCGGGAGGAGAGAGATGGGTGATGACAATGAACCAGAAGAAAATGAAGCCGAAATAAGGTTGTGAAAGTGAGGATGATGAGGATGATGATGATGATCGTGATCCAGAACAGTAGCGTAGGTGGCCGACATGGAATGTGTGGCCAGTCTCCTAGCATCGTACATTGATTCATCTTCAGATGCTGAGCAGAGCGGAAGGCCCAGTCTGAAGAAATGTCTGTCAGTGAGGCAGATATCATCGCAAATGTTACCATCATCATCATCATCATGACAACTATCGTCATCATCACCATCTAACCTCAACTCTTTTGGAGTGAGTGACTGAGCAGATAACCTCTCAAAGATGTACTGGAGAGGAGCATGAAGGAAGTGCTTCTCGAGATACAGAGGACCGTCCATTTGTTTAAACAGCCCACTTAGCAGACCTGCTTCACACATAATCTGCGTCGTCGTCGTCGTTGTAAAAATTAAACTTATTAATTCACTGAATTACATACATACATATATACATACACACACACAAACACAGGTGCATAAGCAGATGAACAAATAGACAAACGGACAGACGGACAGACAGAACCGTTTCAAACCTGCTGATTTCTCTCTGACCTGACCAGTGACTTCAAAACTTCACACATCTGATATTGTAACTGCTTGCAGGCTTTGTACTGTTATTTAAGGAATCAATTGAACAATTAAATAATCAATCATACACTGAATGAAGAATGAATGAATGAATGAATTAATTAATTAATTAATTAAAAAAAACCAACATGGGATGGCTGAGAGTAAGTAATAGCAGGAATAAGATGAAGGAATGAAAGAACAGCCCCTGGATGAATGACTAGAACCTCGCTGCTATTGGCTGGAGTGATAGCCAATTGTTGAGAGCAGATGCTATTTCTTTTACATGATTGATTGACTGGAAATTTTTCAATAAAGGAGTGTGTGGGGCTTGAATTCGATTGGTCAGTCTGAGAGAAGAATCTCTTGAATGTTGGTGGAGTTGAGTTATGAGGTAGATTCTGATTGGCTGGCTGGTCTAACGATTGGCCGCTTGGTAACGAAGTAGTTGTAACATGCATCTTACTGCATGGAATATTCAATTAGTTTTTCAATAAGTGATAATTTCAACTGATATTAGTCACCGCCTAGTCGTTGTGCTTTCAAATAACACTGAATGGATAAAAAATAAGAAACCTCTCAAAATTATCAAGGGCCAGATCATAGAGGTGCCTCAGCAGGATTGTTGTGTGCGTCAGCAAGCACGGCAGATTGCTGGGAGATAACAACAACAATAATAATAATAAAAATAAGAAGAAAAATCAAAATAATAAACACAAAAATAAACTTTTGCATGTCAACAGTAGCAGCTGCAGTAGCAACGCCACCACCACCAGCTTGAATTCGGAAAAAGAAATGATTAACATCCAATGAATTCCACTCAAAAGTATTATTATTATTCTTGCTGTCGTCGTCAGTGGCCACAAAATCGCCATCAGAGAGGACCTCATTCAAAGTCAACGACTCGACATCACTGCTGAAACAACCGAGCAGACGAATGGCTTCAGTTAGACTACTGTATCGTATCTGATGATGATGACATTCATTCATTTTAAAATACCGTCATTCATTCATTTGTGTCATCCATCAATCAACCATTCAAGGACATACTTCAGTGGAGAAGAACCTAGCATTAGCCGGTTCATACCTCATGGCTACTGACAACGTAGAAAACATGAGTCTGATCAGTTGCAGCACGCAATTTTGGTATTCTGTTTCATGTTTTGTTAAATTATGTATTTCATAACTATTAAATTAATTCAGTGAGCCACAAATAACTCAACGAAACAGACCACATACAATCAACAAAAATCTTAGGACCCCTCCAAAAACCACCCACTCACCAAGTGTCCAGGGAAGCTTTGGGGGGTCCGCTAGGGCGCCCTCCATGGAAACTAGGACTGTCATTATGTACACGAAGCCTCCAACTTTTCTAAACACTGTTCTGCTCCTGTGACTTTCCTTCAGAACTTGTAACAGTGACTGCATTGGGTAGTTAAATGGTGCAAATCAATAACTTACTTCACAAAAACACGTTCACAAAAATTTCAATCGTGCTCTTTGAAAATTACAACAAAAATTCTAAACAAAAATTTCATCAAATAAATGATGATAAGTTAAATAAATACTAACACAACAAAGAATAAAAAAGAAGAAGATGAACCTTAATGATTTGTATTTTGAGCTGGAGCTGTTGTGGTGATGAGCTCTGCATGAGTCCAAGAAGGGTGCCCATGTCATCCTCTCCACTGGCGGTCGTCATGAGGTGCTGTACAATGGATAAAGCTTTTGATTGGCAGATCCTGTAAGGTACGAGGTTCAAGATGCATCGGGCCCCCCCTGACTCTCTGAACACCCCTGCAGTGGGCGATGTGGTGGTTAACATGCAATCAGATCTATTTCTCATATTCCGTTTCGGTGGAAATCGTTGTGCTGTGTTATATATATAATTTCCATCTTCGTTAGCTGCCTCGCCGCCTATGATTCTCTTGCCACTACGCAATAATTTGCTCGACATGACATCATTGTACGTGCCAGTTTAGTTGTCCCCATCTGCCTGCTAACATATGCACACTCATTTCTTTCCGCTGAGTATTGCTACTCACCATTGTTTGTGAAATAAGCTGCTTTGTCCTTTAAACCAACAGGTATCAAGGCCACGTAGTAAGTACACAGTACAGTGTGCGTGCGTGAATGCCTCTGAAAGGTAGATGGGCATCTTCTTGCAATGGAACCTGGTTACTGCAGTGCGATCTAACTGTTGCATCATCCGCCATTAATAAGTAGAACACGTTGGTTGAAGGAGAACCATCAAATCAACATGCAAAAATGGGTAAATAACAAACCGGCATTATCGTTATTGAGTAGCAAGAGGAGTGAGTCCATGACGAGAAAGCCCATAACTTTGTCATCTTCTGTCACCCTCCTCTCGCTACTGCTACTACCACAAGACCCAGCAACAGGCGATGAAGTAGCTCGTAAAGCTGCTGCATCTGCAGTTGTCTTAGCACTGTTAACATGACTAGTCTTAGCATCATCGGAAGAATCGGAAATATTAGTACTTGTAGCAGATGTAGTAGCGGCAGACATAGTAGATGTAGTTGTAGCAGTTGTAGAAGCGTTCGATGCCTCTTCTTCCTTGAGTAGTGCAGCAAATCTATGAAGCGAGACAACCATAACTTCTAAGAGACCGACCTCTCTGAAGACATCTTTGTAGATGCTGTGGTGTTGAAGCAGGCGAAGCAACGTTCGCATGCATAAGATGTTGCAGGATATTGATCTGTTTGTTCACAGTAACAATGACGATAGTGATGGTGAGAACGATGACGACGACAATGATGATGATGATAATGATGATGCCGGCAAAAAGTCAACTAACTGATCAGCCTTAATGAGGATGCTGATGCTGATGAGTTCCTTGCATGGGACGAAGTTCAAATTGAATGCAACATATTCAATGATCTCAAAAAACTTCACCTGCATCATAATCATTATTATCCGAACATGATGGTGACATGATGGTGGTGATGAAACACGCGATAATAATGGTAATAATGACAGTTATTTATGATCAGAAACATGGTGATATAATCACAACTCTAAAAAGCAAATATGTGAACAAATTTTTCTTGTATAACTTGGTGATGTTTTCACGTTGGGAATATTTACAATCCTCAACTATATAACCTAAGCATCAACATCAGAAGCAGCAGCAGCCCAGTGGCGTCATCACCGTCTTATTATTATAATTATCATTACGTTTATCATGCCTACCTGCACATCATGATGTTTGGAATGGATCTTCTCGGCGAATTGTGGCAGCGTGTTCTGTGGTTCAAGTATGAAGTAATTGCAAGCGTCCTGGTTATACAAGCTTATCATCACATCTAATATCGTCGAACATAGCTGCTTTGATGATGCCTGTGTGCGTATTTGTGAGTCTGTGCGTTGGCGAGTGCATTTTTATTTGTGTGTCTGTGTGTGCGTTCATGCGACTGCTGTCATTATGTTGTGTGTTGTTCAAACAACTCTAAAAAGTTACCCGCAAGAAGACTGTTTGCAAGACTTGGAACGCCTGCAGGTTCCGTACACTCATCCCTAAAGCGTGCAAGTCAGTAGGAGTGCAGATGTTAATCATAACTACAATGTTACTTTCAATATGATTATCGCATTAAAGGGTGTGATGATAGTAGTATAAAGATTGAAGCTATCGTCACCATGACGTCACTGACAAACAACATTTTAAAGGAAGAAACAAACTGACCATTGCCAGCAGATTGTGGTACAACAAATCCAGGCATGTGAAACAGAGAACTGGTCTTCAAGTTTGGCTTGAGTTCGATGAAGCCACAGGAGCAAAGAGAGCCGACGAGCAGAATGAGGTTCCTCAGAGCTTGCATGGCTTCCTCACTGCCCATCTTCTCTGTACTTTTGTGGCAATTCAGTTTTTCATTTGTTTTCATATTTTTGTTTGTTTTGGCAGTGCTACTCTTAAATAAGCTAACATCAAATCATATCATGCTGCTACTTTTGAATTGAAAATTGTTTTTTGTTCGATCGTGCAAATAACTAATGAATGACCTTCCAACTTGAGAAACCTAGATCAAATATTTTGTTTCTATATCTGTTTGATGCTTTATTTTTGTTCTTTGTTCTTTTTACTACTTTCCAACTTATGTGGTTTGTTTTTCGTTCTGTTCAATAAAAAATCTTTTGTTTTAACTTTAGCACATAATTCTATTCAAATTAACACAGAATTTAAACTCTAAAATTTGGTTTAATTCGACTTTAGCCCGTTGTTTGAACTTTAATACCTGTTTTTATAACGTGGTTGTTGACAGGGGATTGACCAAGTTGTACAAATATAGGCTTTGAATGTTAAAAACTGCTTCATTCAGTACAAAACATAAAAGTTTCAATTCAAAATATCAACATCAGCAACATCATTACATATAAACACAACAACAACATTTCACACAGACTAGAAGAACAAAATCAAATGAAAAAGAAGCAGTAATAATAAGAAAGCAGATCTACCTTAGCAGAAATTCAGTGAGATAATTGTAACCATTGCATGTTCTGAAATCATCGAGAATCATCTGCGAGACCTCACTCGAGTCTTTGAGGAAGCAGAACAAAGTGACCAACATTTCGACCATCTCGATCGGGCTCAGGTCGTTCTTACCTTTCTGCATGTTCTCAATGCACAATCCTATGCAACCCTTGGCTGTGGGTTGTTATTAATTGAATGAATGAATCACCATGTCACTAAGCAATCAATCAAATGATGAATGACTTGAACGAGCAACCAACAAAAATTAAAATCTAAATACAAACGTGACCAATGAAATCAGAATTAACAAATAAATAGAAAGCTACATAAACAGTGGAAAAACAAACTAAGGAAGAAAGGAAGGAAGGAATGAATGAGTGAACGAACGAACGAACAAACAGACAAATAGATGAACCAACAAACGAACAAACAAACAAACAAACCATGGATATATTGAACGACATTAGGAGTGAGTCCATGTCTTGAAAGTGTCATGAGGACTTCGGCAGCACTTTTCCTCCAAGTGATGTTATGAGGTGGGCACAAACTTGTGATTGCATTGAAGAGAAGCATCAGATCATCTTTCCTCACAAGCTCCTCCGCTGGAGATGAGTAACTGCACAACCTTATCAACACCTTGTAAGTCACGAGTTTGTGATGTTTGTTCATGCAATGTGTACTGAATGTAGTTGGAACAAAATTTTATTCTAAATAAATTTTATACAACCTGTACAAAAATTATTTAAATCTTTTAGTTTTTAAAGAAATAGCACAATGCTTTTAAATAAGATTTGTTAAATTAAATTTGACAAATGCAGAGAGACCAAGAAGGACCTGGACAAAAACTTTCTGTAGGAGAACCCTCCTCTCCCTTGGTGTGAACTCTGAGCCAGGTTCTAACTGATCGGGCTGCTGGACGTCGGGAAGGTCGAAGAAGAGATAGAAACATTTCACAAGAGTAGATGGCAGTGATGCAATGGTCATCCCATTTATGAAAGCCTCATGTCCGACTGATGCAAATAAATTTATGGTTGTCAACAACATCCAACCACTACTCTGCTCCTGTGTTGAGTCAATTTCTAAAAATTTCACAATGGCATAACTGGCCGCCTCTGTTGATTGGTTGGAAGCTCTCCGCCTAATTTCACTAACCATCAGTCTCGAGGCATGATTGCAAAACTGTAAAACGTCAGGAAACTTTTCCATCATCTCTTCAGCTGACATTGTGCAGAATATCTGAAAGTGAAATTTATTGAATCATGATGAAACAAATTCAAATACATATGAGCTGGGAATAAAATTGATATTTGAATTCATAAAGAAATCCTCAAAAAATTCAAATGAATCAAACTTGAGAAGCCAAAGAAAGTATATTGAAACCTAGTATAAAAAAGTTAAACACACATATAACATTTAAAAAATTGCACTTGAGCATAAGCAAACAGATTAAAACCAAGTCTGCAAATACATATGCACGTGAATATAAAATTTAACATCTAAAATCTTGCAGAAAAAATTATAAAACTTTCATAAATAATATCTTCTTGCAGATATATACCACAAATCTAAACATTGCTGTTTCATTTTTTACAATTAAAATTGATAAAATTTGAACAAAATTTGAAAAATGCATTTGAAATAACACAGTCATTGTTGTTTTAGTTACTATATTAAATGTTTTAACTAATATTGAGAGAGAGAGAGAGAGAGAGAGAGAGAGAGAGAGAGAGAGAGAGAGAGAGAGAGAAAGAGAGAAACCTTGCAAAATAATGGAAGCATGTTGTATATGTTGTACTCTAAATCTTTGTGAGAAGCACCAGGTCTATTTATTTCAGAAAACAGCTTCCTCAAGTGCATGAGGCCCAACGATTGATCATGGCTGGTACTGACAGTCTGAACAGAATCACCTAATATCTTAGATGACTGGCTGACCAGCTTCTTCATCAGATTCATGACTGCAATATTAAACTGCTTCAGCTGTTATTGTTGTGTTGGCTTTTTTTATTCACAATAAGATCAGTCTTTCGTATGTCTTCTATTTTTCTGGCTGGGTTCTAGAATAAATTCATTATTATTATTATTTCATCTATTCTAGCAAAACTTTTAAAAAATATTCTATATTTAAAAAATTTATTAACAGTTTTCTTATTTTTTTCTCCTTCTAAAAATTCAAACTTGGACAATTGCAGATACCAGTGAATGTGAGTGGGTTAAATTAATAATGAATGAATGAATGGGTAAATAACAATAAAATACAAAACATTTAATTTATTAACAATCAATATTATTACTTCATTGTTTATTTAATTTTTATTAAAAAGGTAGAAAGTGACATACACACAGAAGACAGATCCATGACTAAATGTTTTTCACTGAATCATGAAATTGAATTAAATAATGATGGAAAAATTATTAATCAAAGACCAAAAGTGGTGGGACAATCAACTAATTATTATATTAATTAAAAAGTATAACTAATTAAATTAGAAAACAAAAATACATACTTCATAGTTGTGCTGACTAATAAATGAAATTGGGCAGAATTAAAAAAAATAATTAGACTTCTTTTAGTTTATTAATTATTTAATAAATTAATTACTTAGTATTTTAATTTAATATTAAATTAATACTTATTTGTTCTATTTAATTTTTGTTTTTATATGATTTGATTAAGCTAGAGATACTAGATAGCATTGTAAAAAGTTTTGCAATAAATGAGTAACATGTCATTTTTGTCTTTTATTTTGAAATTGGTTATAAATATCGTTATAATTCACGAAATAAATAGTTTGAACGTTCGCCATGATCACACTACATTATATTATAGATTATAATATAGAATTGGAAATTGACACACAGCAACACCGAACAATAGTATAATTACAGGGGTCGGACTATTTGACATCCTTGGATTATTGGCTTATTGGCTTACTTATGAAACTGCTTGGGTTTTAACAAACAAACAAACAAACTATTTGAAAACTATTTACTTGGCTCATCATGTTTAAAACAATGTAGTAGTTAAATTGAATTATGTATTTTAAAATTATTTTTGTTAATTTGAATATAATAATTGCTTATTGTTCAGTGAAATACAGTGCCTAACTGCTGCCAGAGGTCAGCTTACTAGGATTGAACTATAGTCACTCTTTTTTTTACTTATACGATTTTGCTTAGCTTTTATTGATTTTTTATGAAATAAACGACGTAAATTAATCAAAATTGTTATTTAAACAACTATCTTCATTATGTTCAACAAATATTTTACATTTTAGTGCTCAAAGAAATTGGTGCTAAAATCATACGTTGGTTTACGGCAATTACCTGGTCTCATAGAACTGTATGACAGCTGATTTTTGTCCATATAATGTTTTAAATAAATCAACATATTTGTTTCACAATTATTTTTATTAATATAAATAATCTTCTTTCTCGTGCCTTATCCTTTCATCTACACAAAACCCCAACGCTGTAGCAGTTGAAATGTCGTGACATTGTGGAGACGAACCTTTAACAGACACAAACCAAATCAATATAAATATAGAAATTGGTTTTTTTCTTGTGAAATACATTGCCTTACCGAAGCCATAGGTTCAAGCAACAAATAAAAACGATAATATTAAACGACGAATATGCTACTCTAACCAAAGGACGTCCTCTCTCGTGATGAAAAACAACTGCACTAGTAAACCAGAATCGATATAGGGGCATAGCCATCTGATATATTCGTTCTAATGAAATATCGGTGAGTAGGGACACCATAATTCTGAATATATTGGTATGACAACGACCAAGCTATCGAGAAGGCTCACGATGCGCGTACAAACTGGCGCTATAAAGAATCACATGAACGAGAAACACAAAACTAAAATTACTTGGCAAATCTTGGACAACAATGTTGAAATGTTACATTACAATAACAACTATTATAATTTACGATTAGCCAAATCAATAGTCAATACTCATAGAACAAAGGCATCTGATAGTAGGTAAATATTCAACAAGGTGTATTTGGAATCCTTCCTACTAATAAATTTAGAAACAGAGGAATCATCGATAATGATGACACGTAAAAATATTATCATAGATATATAAAAATCCATGAGTGTTGTATCCGTATGAGTGTTGTGATAAAATATTTTATCATTAATAAAAAGTAATATTGAGATGTGACGGGAGAATGAAGTGAAGAGAGTCACTCGATGAAATTTCCAACTGCTTTTCGTAATCTGATTTTGCGACATCAGACAAATTCACTAACGTTTCATCATAAATCCATTTCACCGGTTCGACCTTTTTTCATTATTCGTTAGGAAGTGCGAAAAATATCACGCGTCTTTTTGTATCGTTGCGTCTCTCTCTCTCCCTTTCTTTCTCTCTCTCTCTCTCTCTCTCTTTCTCTCTATCTATCTTTATCATTGTGTGCATGCGTTTGTATCATTTGTCTTACGCTGTGCAGTGTCTATCGGTGTGCCTAAATTGCTGTACGTGTGTGCGTGTTTCGGTGCCTTTATCTGTGTAAATATTTCTGCGTGTTGATGTGCTACTTTGTCCGCTTCAGCCCGTAACTTTGCGTACATTTGTGCATACATGTTTGTGCGTATGCGTCAATGTTTGTTTACACGTTGTTGTTGCACGTTTGTATGTATGTGTAAGTACGTCTACGGCTGTATCATGTAAAAGATAGGACAATAGATAAAATAGCATATAATAATTATAGAAACAAAACAAATGAAACTTATAGCGCTTAATAAAAGTGAAAAAATATATATTGAGAGCGTATAATGAAAAGCTCTTTCATTCTTGCTTGATCTCATAACGCACTTCATGACGCCCGTCTCGTCCCTGCGGAGATTTCGGCCAGAAAGATCGCGCAAGATTAAGACCGAAGTGGTCAGACTAATGTGCTCATATTTCTGTTCCCTGTGTGTGTGTGTGTCTGTGCGTGTGTGTGTGTATGTCTGTGTGTGTGCGTGTGTACATGCGTATGTTCATGTGTACACTTCCTGAATGTACATGTTTGTAATTGTGTATGTATGTATGCATGTATGTGTGTGTTTGTTAATATTTGTAAGAATATTCGCGTGTATGTGTCTAAGGAAACATATATGTGCGTGTGTGCTTGTGTGCGTGTGTGTGCATCGTGTCGTTACTACTTATGAAAAGCTTTTTACGTATTAATCGTTCTTTCAGCCTGCGTTTTCTGTAGATGGTGAGAATGTTTGTGTGGTTGTGTGTGTATGTGCGTGCGTGTGTTCGTTTGTGTCTGTGTATTGCTGTGTGTTCATCATGCTCTTTATATTTTTGACTATTTATAATACATGTGTGTATGTATGTGTGTGTGTTTGTTTGTTTGTGTTGCCATCTGAGTTTTATTTTGTCGTGTGCGTTATTCCGCTTGGGTTTGGCTAGCATTCAAGTGGAGTCGCTGCAGTTGTTTCTTTGCCTGTAAGTTTATTTAATGTTGATAAGATTATTAAGTAACGAAAGATTTCAATAAATGACTGGATGGATGCATGGATGGATTTAAAACTAAATAATTAAAATATTAGGAAGAAAAATTAAGGAAGAGAATTCGTGCATCTGCAAGTGATGAGTTCCCACACGTTGAAAGACCTTGCAAGACAAGATGATTGATTAAAAGCCTTACGTGAATGTGTGTTTTGTATGATGTATGTAAGAGAGAAAAAGAAAGAGAAAGAAAGAGAGAGAGAGAGAGAGAAGAAAAAAGAGAGAGAGAGAGGCCCGAGGAAATTTGTGATTAAAAATCGGATTCTCAAAATTATTTGTTCATCTCGTAAGGATACTTATGTGACGTTGCTAAGAAGATTGGATGGATGGATGAATGAATGGATGGATGGGTGAATGAATGAATAAACGTATGAATGGATGGATGGATGAATGGGTTAGAAATCTTCAAACATGCAAAAAACACAAAAATATAAAAGTTGTGCTAAACTGAAATTTGCAAAACTACACAGTCGACACATACCGTCACACATATAAGCCAGAAAACAAACAAAAAAACAAACAGACAAACAAACAGACAAACAAACAAACAAACAAACAGACAAACAAACAAACAGGCACACAAAATGGCATCAAATATTCTGGCAGTGCAGAAAGTTTCACAATAGGTCGTCATGTGCTTCTTATATTTCTTCTCTTATTAATAACAAAAGCATCATTTGTTTGTTGCCTTTCTTGTTGTTGTTGTTGTTATAGAAATTGTTTTTGTTGTGTTTATAAAATAGGATACCTATATATGCCCTTCCGTTATATCGTCCAGGACTGTTGTTGCTGTTGTTGTTGTTGCTGTTGTTGTAGATGGATGGATAGATGGACAGTACTAACAAACATACGAATGAATGAATGAAGGAAGAAATGAAAAAATAATGAACGATTGAAGAAACGAACGAACGAACAAACGAAGGGGCGAGTGAATGAATGCAGCGCGTCCCTCTTCACATAAATAGATTTCCTACTGATACACCCAATTCATTTACAACTTAACACATACACGCACACGCACACACATACAGACAAACACACGCACACACACGCGCACATGCAAGCATACGTACACACATAAAAATGTTTTACTTTATGTTTCAATTTATCGTGTTTTACATGCCATTTTTACATTAATAAGAACGTGCAATGTGCTACTTATGTATTTGTATATACGTGTGTGTGTATGTGTGTATGTGTGTGTGAGTATTATATGTCCTGTGTATGTGAGTATTATGTTTGTACTACGTACGTGAGTCTTATGTTTGTGGTGTTTCCGTGTCTAGGAAGGCCTCAGGCTATCCTAACACGAGCTCCACCAACTGCAAAATTATCGAAAGTCTTACGTAATGCGTAGTGCGCGCAGTAGCTGCTGTTGTTGTTGTTGTTGCTGCTGCTGCTGATGATGATGATGATGGCGATAGTGATGATGATGATGGTAAAAGTGATGATGATGATGGTGAAAGTGATGATGATGATGATTTTGTTTTACGAAGCCAGTGTTGTTTTGTTGAAATAGCCTCTTGTTACTATCATTCCTTCCTCCTTCGTTATTTCCTTTAATCATCATCATCATCGTCGTCGTTGTCATCATCATCATTCCCATCATCATCATCATCATCAACCTCATCATTCCCATCATCACCATCATCATCATATCACCTTCGTCGTTGTCATCATCATCCCCATAATCATCGTCGTCATCATCACTTTCACCAGTACATGTTGGCTTAACCAAAAACATCGAATCGAGTTTCCGCTCCATGGCGATAATCTGAACATCACGTGACAAATGTCGACGTTGTTGTTGTGGTTGTTTGTTATTGTTGTTGTTGTTTATATTGATGTTGTTACTTAATGATGAGTTTGTTGTTAGGGACAGAGAAGAAAGAAGAAAAGAAGGAAAAAAGAGAGAAAAGTATTCACACACCCATGCACACATACACATGCACACACACACATAGAGAAACACGCACACACACATAGAGAAACACGCACGCATACAGACACACGCACACAAGAGGCATGTGTGTTCAATGAATTATGATAACGTATCGTGACGTCATTCATTCCATTATTACAATTGGTCTGTTACGTAATATGTCATCAGCAGACGCCATTGTTAACGTCACACTTATCATCATCATCGTCATCATCATCATCATCACCACCATTATCATCATCATCATCATTATTTTAATCGTTATCATGCTCATTCGTTATGTACTTTCGCGACGATTTTGTTACTTCTCACAATGAAGCTACCACCACAACCACAAAAACAACTAAACCGCTAAACTTACTACTACTACTACTACTACTACTACTACTACTACTACTACTACTACTACTACTACTACTACTACTACTTTGATGGCATCTGCTGCTACTAGTACTACTAATAGTAGTATAATTACTACAACTGTAACTACAGTCTTGCACGCACACACGCACACACACACGTACACACACACGCACACACACACGCACACACACATACGATGCAATGTTGGTTTTTCTTCTCCCAAAACAATTAGGCGCGTAAGCATCACATTTGCTAAAGACGATTAACATCATCATTATTTTTCGTCATCATCGTCGTCATGGTTGTCATCATCGTCATCATTCCTGTCATGTCATAATTTTCTTTCATTTCCATTCTTGTTATCATCATCGTCATCATTCCCATCTAATCTGCATTGATAATGTGATGATCGTTATGAACTGCACCCTCTCATCTCTATTGTCATTATCATCTTCGTCGTAATCATCATCACCACCATCATCGTCATCATAATCATCATCATCACCGTTGTCATCATCATCATCATCGTCCTTATTTTTTTCATCCAGATTAAACGTTCGATATGCTAAATATATTGACACCTATTAAGGATAATGAATAGCCTCGCTCTCATTGGCTAGCTAGGAATTTAAACGAGCCAATGGGATTCAAATGTATCGCCATCTGCACTCCTATTGGATGTCAATTTTATAAAGAACACGCCCGCAATAGCTTCATTTCAATGTCTGATATGCATATCTATATTTGTTTGGGTCGATGGCTCAGAGCGAGAAGGACGACGACGACGACGATGATGATGATGATGACGATTTTTGGTGGTGGCGATGATGATGATGATAATGTTGTCTTGGCGGGGGTGATGATGATGATGGTGTTTTTTGGTGCGATGATTTTGAGATGAGGAAATGGAATGATGATAGTTGCTATGAAGATGACGAAAGGATGATGAAGATAGCGTGAAAGAAAAAAACATACCAACATTAAAATTATTATACAGGCCTTCTATTCAAGCTGGAACAAGTTATAATTGATTGAAACACACACTCATTAACACACACAGACACACACACACACAGACAGACACACACATACACACGTATTCACTCAATAGAATGGAACAGATGCATCTCCCCCGGATATTTGAGTAAGCATTCAATTCGCCATCTCAAACGAAACCACATAAATATATTTACACACACACACACACACACACACACACACACACACACACAGAACATGCACACACACACAAACAAACTAACACACACACATACAAACACAATCCTATGCAGAAAAATATGTGCAAACTCGCACGTACAAATACGCATGTTTATATACGCCATGACATACCGCATGTTTATATACGCCATGACATACGTAGATACACAAGATACATGTTTTTATATACGCCATTACATGCGTAGATATACAAGATACATGTTTTTATATACGCCATTACATGCGTAGATACACAAGATACATGCACAAACGCTGCACACATATAACCCTGCGAAAACATTGTTAGTGCCACATATGATCCTTTGCAAGTCGGCTGGTACGCGTCTATGTACCTATATGTTTGTGAGTGTAATTGAACAATAAATTCGTATTTATAACGCTAGGAGGGGCTTATGGGTTGATTGACATCTATCTTCAAGATTTGAATGGTTAATAAAGATAATAATGAACCTTATGAAGCAGACAGACTTGCATACGTTTGCATTATAATGCATATGAAGAAGCATCGATGAACGTATAACTGCCTTTGACATGGCAGCATCACCTTATATATTGCATATAAGATGGTCTTCAGTTGCCATCAGAAATTATTCGGTCATAAAACAATTAGAAGTGAAAGTCGTTTGCTTAGATTATCATATATATCATATATATACACATATACATACATGTACATACATATACATATATATATATATACATATACATATTGATATATATAGATATATATACATATATGTGAGCGTTCATATCTCAAAAACCATATCACTAAATGTGTGTATAGTCAAGTCAGCCTATACATACAGCACATATATATATATATATACATATATATATATATATACATATATATATAGATATAGATAGGTATAGATATAAAACAAATATATAATTGAGGTAATGTATACATACATACATACATATCACGTAAGTTCTTTATAAAGTTATATAAATTTGAGAAAAATTGTCACCCAGACCTGCCGGAGCGTGTGGTTGGCTCAGTTTGTGCTTCTTCCCCAATAAATTGTGGATTTTCCAATAAATTGTGGATTTAAACAGTTGAATAGCACGTGTGGGTGTGTGTTTATTGTTTATATAGTATTAACCATTCAAAGGTAATTTTATCTGTTTATATGAATATAAATAATAACAACAAAAATATTAAAATAATAATAATATTATTATTATCATTCTTGAATATAGAAATAATATTAATAATTTTATTTATATTATTACATAAGAAATCTTTAAACTTATAAATAAGGACGGAGTAACAACAGCTGGGCAGCTAAAACGCCTGATTTACGGTAAGTCTTTTTGTGTTTAAGGTAAGTGTATTCATTCATTCAATCATTCAATCATTCATTCATATTTTAATGTTGGTTTCACACTTTGAATTTTTTTCAAAATATAAATCATCAACATCATCAACAACAACAACTTCCACAAAATAACAATAATTATATTAAAGCAATGTTAAAAACTTACAATAACATCAATAACAATAAATGCAATGGCCTCATTGGAGACACCACTTTCTCAATTCTTTTTCACCATCGTCATCATCGCCATCATCATTATCATCAACGGTCGAAAAAGCCGAATATTCGGCCGGTATCATCATTCGGTTGTTTCTCCTCTTCTATCGATTGCTTGACCGACCGACTATCGATCCATCCTTCCAATGCTACAAAAGCTTCGTTAGGCTGAGCTACATGTCTCGTTGTTTTGTACACGCAGAACTGAAGTAGAAGTAGTAGTAGTAGTAGTGTTAGTAGCGGCAGAGTAGTAGCAGTTGTGGTAGTAACCACTTTTGTCATCGTTGTCATTGCTCTTTGTTTTGGTTACCATAAAGTAGAAGCGAAATGTTGTTCATGGTGTTTATGTGTCCACCATCATAGCCATCACAACCATCATAGTCTTCTTGCATTGCTAACATTTAAAATCTATTTTCAATTGCAGGTCTAACAAGAGAAAAGCATCAACATCACAACAACAACATCAACAACAACATCACCACCAACAACAACAACATCACAGAACAACAACAACATTATCAACAACAACACCAACAGCAGAACTAACATTAACTAGACCATCATTGGCATCATTTGGTGATCGACTTTATAACAGAAAAATAAGAACGTTAAATCAAAAAATTCTCAGACAGTTGAACGATGGCCCAACAGTTATCGCCCATATGTCATGGTTTCAACACTCAACAACAACAACAACAATCCAAACAACAACAACAACAACACAAACAACAACAACACAAACACCATCATAACAACAACAACAACATACCACTTGCATCGTATTCTCCAAATCATTTAGATTTCAGCAATGCTACCAACAACAGCAACAACGCAATTACTGTTAGCAGCAACATCAACAACAGCATCAACAACAACATCAACAACAGCATCAACAACAACATCAACGAGAACGATATGGGCTCTCATCAACCACACCAACAATCACATCACGCACAACATCCAACTCGTCACCAAATCCTTCAACAATCATTACTATCATCACCTCAACAATCATTACTACTACCACCTACGCAACAGCAACAGCCACAAAAACACATCTCAGCAACTGCATTCTCTCCACCGTACCTCAACTTCTCCCAGCAACAAATTGCTCGTGTCTGCGAGACCCTCGAAGAAAGTGGAGACGTTGAAAGGTAGTGAGGGTGTCTGTTGCTTGTTGTGGTAGCAGTAGTGGCAGCAGCAGCAGCAACTGCAGCAGTATTAGTCGTAGTTCTACTATCAGCAATTAATGTAGCCACTGGTCACTGAGTTAGCTCAGTCGGTAGAGGTGCCATGTTTCGTGCTGCTGTTGGGCTATTACGCGAGGGCAGGTTTGAATCCTGTCTGCCCGGAACTCAAAGGCCATCATACGTAATGTGTATGCATGGTGTTGTACATTCTCGTGACTCAAAAGTTTGATTGTAAAGATAAAACAACATGTAATGAAGAGATGAGATTTGTAAATTCGCTAATGACAAAAAACAAGCACCATTTAATTAAAAGACGGCTCTGTTACTTCCTGGCAGCAGTTATTGTCAATGTTACGGCTGCTATGTTGCTGCTTTAATCATTAGCGTCATTTTTTATTCTTCTTCTTCAATATTATTCAGACTGGCTCGGTTTCTATGGTCTCTTCCAACAACCAACCCTATCAACAACATCAACAACATCAACAACAACATCAACAACAACAACATCAACAACATCAACAACGAACACGAATCAGTGACAAGAGCTCGGTGTCTTGTTGCCTACCATGCTGGGGATTTCAAAGAATTGTACAGGTGGTGATGATGATGATGTGATGTTGGTAATGATGTGGTTGTTGTTGTTGGTGATGATGATGTTGATAGCGATGACAGATATCACAATTAGAACTGCAGCACACAAACCACACACCACTGCAGACTCTTAGAGACGCACAAATTCACGAAGGCCTCACATTCGAAACTGCAAGCCATTTGGCTCGAGGCCCACTATCAGGAAGCCGAACGTTTGCGCGGTCGTCCCTTAGGTCCTGTTGACAAATACAGGGTTCGGAAAAAATTTCCACTCCCCATGACGATCTGGGACGGGGAACACAAGACCCACTGCTTCAAGGAACGAACGAGGTACCTGCTGAGAGAGAGGTAAGTGCTCCGTTTTTTCTTCTTCTTCATCATCATTTTCCTTCTTCTTCTTCCTTTTCTTTTTCTGCAATCACCCACTTCTTATGAACGAGTGTGATCTCTTCGTTACATTCTCTTGTTTGTTGCAGTTTTGGCAACTCCATCTCAATTGCTTCATTGTCTGGTTTTTCATACCAGAATTAGCATTCTTTTGCTTTTCTTCGTCATTCTTTTCTCTATACATCATATTGCTATCGGGGAAGTTATCATTTTCGTTACCCTGCTAGGTACCTGCAGGACCCTTACCCGAACCCGGCCAAGAAGAGGGAGATGGCACATGCCACGGGTCTTACACCCACCCAGGTTGGAAACTGGTTTAAAAACAGGAGACAACGTGATAGAGCGGCTGCAGCTAAAAATAGGTCAGTGGGAGGGGTTTCTCTTGAACAATGAGATTTCAAAAGTTTTTATTTTAATTTGTGTATTGAATTAGAAGAATCAAGATTTCATCCATAGAAGACTGATTCATATTTTTTTACAAAATTAGAGTTGATAAAGCAAAGAAATGATTTAATTTCACGTTCGGATATAACAGAAGAAAATGCCGTCACAGACCTTCACACGCACGCACACACACACGCACACATTCCAAATGATAAAAAATCAAGTACAGTGCGTTAGGGTGAACTGAATGTTCCTGACAGTGCAAATAATGTAATATAATAATATAATGTGTATAATAATAGACGAACTACGGGAGGCATTGCACGCGAGCACGCGAGCAACAGTCACATCCACACATATTCACACCCATCCACACATATTCACACATCCACACATATTCACACCCATCCACACATATTCACATCCATCCACACATATTCACACCCATCCACTCAGATTCACACACATCCACACATATTCACACACATCCACACACAGAGATACAAATTAAAATACATACATGGTACGTGCAAATTAAGAGCACACGTTTTTGAACTTACCGTGAAATACGCCACTCACATACATCACATACATACATCCTACGTACACACACACGCACATACAAACATAGATACATAAAACACGCTAACACACATATACACACGTAGTAGTTCTAAATTTAAAATAGAAATATGTGAGAAAAGCAAATATCTCATGGAGTATTGTAAGCATTGCATAAACTGAACGAAGTACGAGCAAACATTTTTTCAACTGCGAGTGAAGTATACAACTATACAAATGTTTGTATGTATATCGTTTTGCATATGTTTGTATATAAGTGTGTATGTTGTAATGTATGTGCTTGTCTACTTGTATAAACCTTTGTATGTTTGTACTTGTAAGTTTGAATAGATTTTTCTAGCTGTATATGTTTTTTTTCTGTGTATGTAGCTATATGTCTTCGTTTTTGCATGCATATTTGTATGCATGTGTTGATGTTGAGGCCATATTTGACGATGTAGAAGGTCTCCTCCCATGGTTTGCACGAATCTCTGCAACCGACCGACGAAACCTGACAAGCGAGAGGGAGCTTGAGCAGCGATTGCTCCATCTTTCCTGGCGGTTAGAGGCAAAACAAAATGGAGTTCGGCCAGCATATATCAAATCAGCTACGTTGAACAACCGCTGGATGAATGGAACAGAGGCAAAATAGCTGCTAACATCAAAGATGAACTCTACAAAGCTCGAGACAAAAGCCTCAACACTTACAATGCACCTCTAGCCTTAAATTTCCTAAAAAGTTGACAAATCTAATTAAAACGAATAGTAATGGATTAGCGGATCGGTTTGTTAGCCTAAGCAAACATCCCCTCACTGATAAGAGAAGAGAATTTTTAAATTTATGATTAAACTGTCATATTTTTAAGAAACCGAACAATATTGAAAAAACAATTGAAATTGTGTGTATGTGTGCATGTATGTACGTGTGTACGTGTGTATTTGTTTTTTGTTTACCTGTTCGTGCATTTGATAGTCTATTTGTTCTTTGATCTCTTCATAACTTTTAACAACTTCCAACTTATTAAAAAATCTCTTCTATTAACTCTTAAATTAGAAACAATGCTAATAACAATAAACTAACAACAATAACAACAATAACAATTTTATTATTATTGTTGTTGTGATTAAAACAAATATTGATCGATCTATTAGATATATTTAACCGCTGATTAAGTTCTTTGAGGTGCTATTATCAGTGCGATTTCATCGCTATTACGATTGCGCTCACTAGTATTACTATTATTATTGCTAATGTTGTTGTTGTTATTTGGATGGATGGATGGAAGGAAGGATGGATGGATAGATAGATGGATGGATAGATGGATGGATAAATAGATGGATGGATGGATGGATAGATAGATGGATGGATGGATGGATGAATTGATATTTTTTTCTTCATCATCATCATCATCATCACAATCTTCATCGTCAATTTCAAATATCTTACAATATTCTTTAGCACCCAACATTGTTTATGTAACACTGCACTAAGATAAGTAAGCATTCATTCATTCATTCGTTCATTCGTTCATTCGTTCATTCGTTCATTCGTTCATTCGTTCATTCGTTCATTCGTTCATTCGTTCATTCGTTCATTCGTTCATTCGTTCATTCGTTCATTCGTTCATTCGTTCATTCGTTCATTCATTCATTCATTCATACATTTATGTGTGCGCGTGTGTGTACTTACCACACAATCAAACAAAGACACACATGACAGTAGAATATAATACAGGCTTTGAATGCAAGATGTTGAAACGTTAATTGTTGATGTTGTGCTACTGAATTTTGGTGATATTCTAATTTCATACTAAATATTCCACGACGCGAATGCAAGGTCTTATAAACCAAAACAAAGAAAGATAAAGAGAAGACAAATACAGAAAGAGAGAGAGAGGGGGGGGGGAGAAAGAAAGAAAGAAAAAGAGAAAAAATATATCGAAATATAAAGAAAAAAAGATAAAGAGAGGGAACGACAGAGAGAGAGAAAGAGAGAGAGAGAGAGAGAATAAAGTAGTGTGATGTTGTACTTGAGTTCTTCTCAGATTATAAATAGATGTCATCCGTGATAAAACCTCTTGACAACAATTAGCATCTATTAAGGAAGGCACCCCTTAGTGCGCGTGTCTCTATGTCTCTCCATTTCTCTCCATTTCTCTCTCTTTCTCTCTCTCTTTCTCTCTCTCTCTCTCTCTTTCTCTCTCTCTCTCTTTCTCTCTCTCTCTCTCTCTCTCTCTCTCTGTGTGTCTATCTGTTAATGTCCTTGTGCCTTTTCGTCCATGTACGTGTCGCGTGTTTGTGTGTGCTCGTGCGTGTGTGTGTGTGTGTGTTAGTCTGCCGAAACATGTGTCCGAGTAAACGTTTGTTGATATGAATAGATTATTTTTGAATGTGTGAATATGCATTTGTATGTTTGTATCCTATTTTTTTATAAGGTTACATACACATACATACGCGTATATTTCTACGCAAACACACGCAAACACACACGTAAATAAATGCGTTGTTACATTTGTGAGCATATGTTTTTAAACAGTCACTTTTCTTGTTTATTTTTAAGTTCATTTCTTTTGATACACATATAATATACATGTGTATGTATCTACATGCGTGTCTGTATGTGTATGTATGTGTGTGTATGCGTATGGTTATGTGTGCGTGTGCGTGTGTGTGTATAAACATTGTTATTAGTACCACACTTTGAAACGTTACACTTCTGCACTTGTTAACGATTTTGATAACGGCGTACACGCACGTACACACATACATACGTACACACATACATACGCGCGCACATACATACGTAACGTACACACACACATACGCGCAAACACACGGATACGTACATATACTCTCACATACATTCACATAGTAATAAAGGATGCCATGATTAGTGAATTTGATCGATCCATTGTTTGTTGGGCCGAAAGACATATCTGTCTATGGAGATGTTGGATGTTATGTTAATGAACCTCTCGTTCAAATTCAGATGTTTTAACGGCTGTGATGGTCAAAATACATCTCCTACTTATCATCATCATCATCACTTATTGTTTTGGAACCTCAAAAATTTGATGGCTTAAACTGGTATTGCAATATTCTGGTACTCTGCTGCCCAGAATTTTAAAAATGACGAGCGGTCGAATGGCGAATTTTGCCCGAATACCATGCCAGGATCAACATTCGTTGCTTCTCAAACTAATACCCGTTTACAAGCTCACAAATGGACCATTCATATTTATAACTTACATTAATTTATCGTTCACCTCATTCTGATCAAGTCTTATAATGTTGTTGTCTGTTGCTGTTACAAACAATTAAATACACGAAATTGTTAACAATTTATATTTGTCATGTTGAATGGGGCTGTGTGTGTGTTTGTGTGTGAGTGAGTGTGTGCGTGTGATGAACAGCTACAGGCGCATGGGCATGAGTAACTTTTTTATTTACGTGATAACAACAACGAGGTTTATTGCACACCATGGCAGACTGATGAATCGGAGGCATAATTTGGATGCAACATCATCAACAGCGTCAACAACAACATCGGCAACGACATCAACCTCATCATCAACAACAACAACATCTCAAAATTTTCACAACAAACACAGCAAGAGCAGCATTTACAACAACAGCAACTTGCTCAGCAACACTAGCAGTGATGAAGACGATGAAGTTGATGAGGCTGATGACGACGATGACGTCAACAACAAAACGTTTTACCGCCGCAACAAAATTAACAACAATAGCAAAATGCTGCGAAACAAGTCGTCATCGTCGATGTTGTTGTTGCTGTCGGACACTGACGACGACGACGACGATGCTCATTTCGAAATGATGCATTTAAAAGAACAAACTCGAAACGATCGGTATCAACAAAATCATTTTTTCCAACAACAACATCAACAACATCAGCAACAACAACATCAACAACAACAGTACTATAGCTCTCAGTATCTTAATTCATTTGGTTTTCAGCAAAATCGTCCAGCACAACAACAACAGCAACAACACATCAACCAACACCAACACATTGAAATCAACTTATTCAACAGCAGCCGTAATCGTGATAATGATAACGACGATGATAATGATACTTCGGATATTGATGTTGATAACTGCTCGGATAGTAGTATCAACAACAAAAACGACAGCAAAAAAATCTTCGACGGCCAACATTCGCATGGAACGCAGTCGCAACTCCAAATAAAACACGAGCCGAACGTCGCCAACAAGAAAGGCACATCACCTCACTTTACGTCATCATCGCCATCATCGTCACCACCACAGCCGCCACCATCGCCATCATCATCATCATCATCATCATCATCATCGTTGCCATCATTTGTATTATCACCCTCAACTGCATCGTCATCAACATCGTCAAAATCTTTTTCATTGTCACTTCCATATCTGAAATCTACGTCATCATCATCATCATCATCATCTTTTTCGGCAGCAGCAACAACAACAACAACAACATCATTACCATCACCGACAACAACGTCATCAAACGATGCGACAAACATGCAACCTGGCTACCTCAGAAAAGAAATCACGGAGGATAAAAATAACTTTCTGGAATTTCCAGGTTTCCGCTTCCCATCTAACTTTCCATTTCATCCCTTTCTACCTCGACAGGCACTTCCAATTCTTCATCATCCTCTTCATCTTCCTCCTCATCTCCATCCACAACTTTCCACTTCCGGATTGCAATCTATTTTTAAATCCATGATGGCCTCAGCTCAATGTAACAGCAGCAGTAGACTTCCGGCAATGGCCACAATGCGGCAGCTGTATGTCACAGCTGCTCAGCAGATGTTGCTGCTACAACAACAACATCATCAGCAGCAACAGCAGCTACAACAACAACATCTACTACAGCAACATCAGCAACATTGTTATCAGAATAATAACAATTCGGCTAATGATTCAGCAAGTAATAATAATATCAACAATGTGAATGAAAACTATAATAACATAAATAATAATTATGACGTCAGTAACAGTAGTAGTAGTAGTAGTAGTAGTAGTAGTAGTAGTAGTAGTAGTAGTAGCGTCGTCGACATCAATATCAAAAGCAAAGGCAGGAAGCAAGTTAATGCAACTTTACCATTTCCTTTAAAAAATAAAAGTATGGTAACTATAACTAGTAGTAGTAGCAGCGGCGTTACTAGCGTTTGTAGTAGTAATAGTGGTGGCCGTTGTAGCAGCAGCAGTAATAACAAAAGTAAAAATTCTTTAAACAAACTTTCAATCTCAAACTTAATTGGAGAAAAAAACGAAACTAAAAATTTGAAACTGGAAAAAGCGGAGATGGATGGAAATAAAAATCTGGGGTTTCCCGAAGAAAGCAAAGATACTTTATCGTCACTGTTATCAAAGAAAGATAAATTGAATAGAAATTTGAAATTTAGCAAGAAATCAACAATTGATGATGATGATGATGGCGATGATGAGGGCGCTGACGATGTTTCTTCTGGTAAGATGGAACAATCTAATAACAATGACTGTAAAAAAATTTGTGTTGACCATGTGGACCATGACAATGATGATGACGATGATGATGACGATGATAACAAAACTTATCAGTAAATTAACACAACTATCATCATCTCCGTCTGCCATCATCATCATGGGATTCAACGTCATCATTCTCTGCCAGAACATGAGTGAATGAAAAGTGGCGATGCTGATAATGATGGTGATAAAAACAGAAATGACGTCATCAACTATGATGATGATGATGATGATGATGATGATGATGATGATGATGATGATGATGATGATGATGATGATGATGATGATGATGATGATGATGATGATGATGATGATGCTGATGCTGATGACGATAATAATGACAGTAATTGAATGAAATCACATCCAACATGCCCACCAACACAAACGACTAAAGCTTATTTCTAGATCTTCATTTCGGTACAACGTACATTGAATGTTTCATTTGACATGACGAGGCAAAATTATGACGAAGGTGAATGAAGGAATGGTGTCTAAATCGTGAATAATTCTTGACTTCATCATCGCCAGTCCTTGCAAATTGTATTAAGTTATTTGAATTTATATTTTCATAAGATTAAATAAGTATTCACAATAGAAAATCAACATTTTCAAGCAAATATTGACTATATATGCTATATAAAAAAGCATAAAGTGTGTATGCATGTATGTGTGTGTGTGTGTGTGTGTGTGTGTGTGTGTGTGTGTGTGTGTGTGTGTGTTTATTTGATATATTTTATATACATGAAAATGCACATGATAATTATTTATTGAAACGTTTACATCTTCTTTCATTGTAATGAGCTTCAGCGACATTTATATCTTTATATACCTTTTCCATACTTATTTCACGCAGAGTTGTTTTTATATAATTTGAAAAGCGAATGTACTTTGTACATAATATTGAACAATAAATGAATACAATAATAAATAATGATATTAATTTAATAAATATATGATGTCTTTGTCATTTCAATTGTTAGCTTATAACCATCTACCTAGTACATGATGTTTTGTTTCATGAATTTAGCAGTCTATATTGATATGTTGTGAGTGAATTGAAGTATTATTATGTGTCGTGAGTTTTGTTAAAATAAAATATTTATGGAACGATACGTACACCATCGTCGTCTTCACCATCACCATCGTAATTTATTTAACTACACCAAAATTAGCGAAAACTATTAAAAAGTCTCGAAACTGAACACACGTACAAAAACTGCAAGCAAACAAACATTCAGAACAAGCAAACAAGAAAACATACAAACACACAAACAAAAAATGATTGACATGTCCTTGTGGTCACGTGATACATTGGGGGCGTGTCCTCAAAATGTCATCACCACCGTAATTAGCGTCCGTAGGGGGCGCGAAGTAGAGAATGAAGGAAAACCCCGGAGATCTATATTTAGAAACAGAAGACGGAGTAAATTGATTGTGCTTGTGTGAGCATGTGTGTGTGTGTGTGTGTTTGCGTGCATGTGCGTGTTTGTGTGTAGTGTGTGTATGTACATGCTATGTGTGCGTGTGTGCACTTTAAATGCCTCCAATTTGACTTGGACTGGAAGTACTTGCGCGCTTTGCTGACAATGGTGGCGAGAAGACTAATAAAAACAATACGAACCAAAAGTTATAATAATAATAATAATAAATAATAATAATAATAATTAATAATAAAAATTATTATAATTATAACGATAGAAATCAATCAAATCAGTTTATAACATTTCATGCAAACTGAGCTTGACATGGCTATCATCATTAAATTAATACACTTAAAAGCTTTGCTGATCCTAATATATACATACACACATACATACATACACATAGAAACACACACACATAGAAACACACACACACATATATATATATATATATATATATATAATTAACTTCATACACATGTCAAAAGTACGTTCGATTTGACGTCAGTCAGTTAGTTTATGAATTAGTCTATACTTCAGATACATATGTATGTGTGTTTGTGTATGTGTGTTTTTTTGTGTATGTGTGTGTGTATGCGTGTATGTGTGTGTGTGTGTGTATCTACATATAACTTTAAATACATTGTCGTTTACCTTTTATATATCCAACTTCAACGAAACCGAAAAATTTAACAGAATTTTTTCAAAGATAACTCGTGATTATTTAACTAATGGCACATCGTCCTCATCGTAACCTTAAACAGACAGTATAATCTTCAAAAAGACAGTGCTAGTGCATTAAATCTCCACACACACATGCATACATACACACATACACACACACACATACACGCATACATATATGCATACATTCATACATACATTGATATAGACATATACACATAATATGGTATCACTAATAATCCCATCACATCATTACTCATTACATTAATCTTGTCTGCCCGTATAACTAACTTATCGTTACCAATAACAACAACAACAATAATAATAATAACAACAATAATAATAATAATAACAATAATAATAATGACAACGCAGATTATAATTGGCTAGGGTTGTATTGATGTGATGTTGATGTTGTCGTGATTGCTGTAATTGTTGTTGTAATGTGATGTTGTTTTTTTTTAATGTTGGATGTTGTTGCGGTTGTTGATTTTTTACAAAAATTACATATAAAAAAGTCAGTAATTTAATTGCAAACCTAAATTAACAACAACAATAGCAGCATCAACAACAATAGCAACATCAACAACAACAACAACATCAACAACAACAGACAACATCAACAACATCAACAACAACAACACCGATGATGAGAGCCAAGATAATGACGACGACGATGACAATAATAATAATGATGATGACGTCACGATGATGACGACGGCGACAATGATGAAAAGTGAACTGAAATTTCGAGAACGTCTGTTCGGAGATAAATTAGTCTAGAGCTCCCCGCTAATAAACAGACGAGCTCAGTTCATTGTTAATTTTCGCACGTATGTTCACTAGCTTTTTCTGCTATTTTTTGTCGTTGTTGTTGTTGTCGTTGTTGCTGTTGCTGTTGTTGTTCGCGTTTCTTAATTGATGTTATTGCTATTCATGTTTTTGCTTGTGTTGTTGTTAGATATGCTACCTAAGAAGGCTCTTATTGCTGCTGTTTTTAATACAAATCTCTCTCTATCACACACACGTACACACACGAACGTAATATATTGTTTGTATGTGCGTATGTATGTGTATGTATGTATGTGTATGCGTATGTATGTGTATGCGTGTGTGTGTGTGTGCGCGCGCGTTTGTGTGTTGGTTGACATTATTGGATAAGCAAATCTAACGCCTTTGTAAATAAATTCGATAATACAGGCATCCGTTGCCGAGTATTTATTTTTTCATCATCATCATCATCACCCCCATCATCATCATCACCACCATCATGTTCATCATCATCACCACCACCATCATTATCATCTCTTCTTCTTCATCACTGTCATCATTATTTTAATTAAAGCTATCATCATTGTCATCGTGATAACGTATTAACGATAAGAACAACGCAGTGCATATGTATACATACATGTGCAGTGCGTATGTATACAAACATATATAAATACATACATATACATACATACATAAACATACAAACGAACAAACTGCCAATGAAAACAACAAATCAAATTCTACTTAGTAGGTTGGTTTGCTTATCTGATATGCGGTTTATATTCCAGCGATGATAATGGTGATGATTGTGGCCATGATGATGATGATGATGATGATGATGATGATGATGATGATGATGATGATGATGATGATGATGATGATGATGATGATGATGATGATGATGATGATGATGATGATGATGATGATAGTGGCGATGATGATGATGATGATGATGATAGTGGTGATAGTGGTGATGATGATGATAGTGGCGATGATGATGCTGATGATTATCATTAGCAGGATGGTCACGATGGCAACAGCTAGAAATATGTGTAATAATATACAAATGATTGACAACAACTTCAACAACTACATCAACATCAACAACTACCTCAACATCAACAACTACTTCATCAACATCAACAACAACTTCAACAACTACATCAACATCAACAACAACAACAGCAGTAACAACATTAATCATCATCCGCAGATCATCTGTTTGGCAAATAAAGAGTGCCCAGACGACACAATTAGCACACAAAATATTTTTGTTGTGTGGTTGTTGTGTTCTGTATGTTACACGCGCACACACCACACATGCACCACACACACACCACACACACACCACACACACACACACACACAACAGCCACACACACACACAAAGTTTATTTAGATGTCAATTAGTTTTGTAAAGCGGAATGATGTTGAGAATGTGATGGAGGTTGTATGGGGAGCGTGACAATTGAATTGAATTGGTTTTCTATAAAGTCGAAACTATTGATCATAATCTAACTAATTTTGTTTTCATTATTTGTGTCTGTATCTGTGTGTGTGTGTTTGTGAATGTGTCTATGTACGTGTGAATGTGTCTATGTACGTGTGTGTCTCGGTCTGTGTTTCTGTCTGGTTTTTAATAATACAAATACTGCAATACGTAATTGAATGAACGAATAAATGAATGAATGAACGAACGAACGAATGAATGAATGAACAAACGAGTGAGTGAATGAATGAGTGAATGAATGATTGAATAAATGATAGAATAAAGTAAAGAAAATATGAATAAACGATTGAAAGAGCGAATGAAGGAATGAAACATTTTATGTCGTTTTGAGGCCCTGTCAAAAAGGACTGTTTGTATTGCTTAGTCAGCCAGAAAATCACCAATGTTTATATGTTCGTGTTTGCGTGTGTGTTTGTCTGTTTGCGTGCGTGTGTGTGTGTGTGTGTCTGTCTGTCTGTGTGTTTTTGTCTGTGTCTGTGAATGAATGCTTTTGAGTTATCAGTTTTATTTTGTGTTCGTACGTACGTGGTGTGTGAGGCTTTCTATGTTGTTGACTGCCTATCAGCCTTGTTTTTTGTGTATATTTAAATGTGTGCATACATGTGCGTGTGTACGTACGTGAGTTGTAAGATGCGTGTGCTGATGAGGAAACACGTCAGATATAATTTGTCAGCCTTGCTAAATGGTCAATTGCACTCAAATTAACAGTCCACTCATCCAACCATCAATCTGTCTATCTATTCCTTCATTCATCCATCTATCCATTTGTTTGTTCATTCATTCATCTATTTTTTGCCTATTTTTTGATCAATTCATTCATTCATTTGTTCATTCATTCAATCACTCGTTCGTTCGTTCATTAATTCATTCGTTCATCAATTCATTCGTTCATCCTGTCCATTGTTATGTTAAGTTTTTAAAAAACAACCAGCCAATAGCGTGAGAGCTGATGACGTCGACAAAGTGGAAAAACGCGAACAAAAATAAAAAAAACAAACATACAAGTGACCAAAAATGTTTATAAAAACATAAACAAACAAAAAAATAAAATCAGAAACAAAGAAATCTAAATATGGAGGTAACAATTAGTGACAGTGTTGGTTTAATGCATTAATACATTGTATTTGTATTTGTATGTGTGTGTGTGTGTGTGTGTGTGTGAGTGTATGTGTGTGTGTGAATTAATGCATGTATGCATACAAGCATGTGTGTATGTGTGTGTGTTTTTTGTATTGTATGTGCCCATGAACACACATACAAATTTTTAGTTTGATCTTGAAAACAATGTACGTTGTACATACATGGCTCGGAGCATGCAAACATGTATCGAAAGATCTGATATCTTCATTGTATTGCTCCGTGTATTTGTTTGTATTATATTGTATGCATGCATGTATGTGCGTATGTATGTACGTATGTATTTTGTACGTATATACGTATACGTATGTATGTATGTACGTGTGTGTGTATGTGTGAGTGTTTAGGTATGTTTGGATGTATGAGCGTATGAGCGTATGTGTGTGTTTGTATGTATGTTTGTACATTTGGATGTGTATGTATGTGCGTGTTTATATATTGTTTGCGTGTGTACGTGTACACATTTGTGTATGTGTGTAAGATTCATTGAGGCGTTAAATGTTTTGTAAACAGATGCCTGTGAGCTAATTTTTGGTTTTTTTTTGTAGAAACAATTTACAATTCTTCTACAATATTTCTATTTCTATTTATGATGCATATGTGCGAGTGTTGTCACACGCACGGACACACACACACACACACACACAAACAAACATACCAAAGATAGCAAATTGATACATCAAAGATAATAAATAGATACAACAAAAGATTTAAAATAGAAACGCCAAAGTCCAAATAGTGACCCCTACATTCATTTTTTTTGTGCTCGTGTCTTTGTGCGCGTGCATTCATGTGTTTTTATTCGTGCACATTTTGTGTATTATTTTGTATGTGTGTATGTGCAATCACATGTTTATGTATGTATGTATGTATGTATGTATGTATGTATGTATGTATGTATGTATGTATGTGTGTGTGTGTGTGTGTGTGTGTGTGTGTGTGTGTGTGTAGGCATGTCTATCTGTATGTGTGTCTGTATATCTGTGTATGCATCCGTATCTGCTTGTAAAATTGTGTGTGTATGTAAAAGAAGGAGCAAACATTAAAAATATGAGATGTGTGTGTAAACATTGCGCAGAACTCAATCAACAACAAGTCAAGGAATAAAAAGTATGATTGTGTATGTGTATCCGCATGCATATATGTTTGTGTGTGTGTGTGTTGTGTACGAATGTTATGTGTTGTGTGTGTGTACGTGTGTGTGTTGTGTGTGGGTGTGTGCATGCATGTTTGTTGATGGGCAAAATTTTTCTGTAAAATGATACATTTAATATGTTCTTGATGATTAATAAATGAGTGCGTTAATGAATGAAGTAGTGGAGGGATGAACGAACGTATGAACGAACGTATGAACGAATGAATGAACAAATGAATAAATGAACGAATGAACAAATGAATAAATGAACGAATGAACAAATGAATAAATGAACGAATGAATGATGACACGACTCTGTGACGTCATAGTACTTCTCTTATCCATCCGTCCATCCATCCGTACACGTCATCATAATTGTACACGTCACCATCATTGTGCACGCATTCTTGCACTAAACGTTTGTAAACACGGCTCTCTATTTTCCACTCTCTCTTTTTTTCTTCGTCCTCGCCGTTCTTTCAATCCTTCCTCTCGTTTTCCTCACTCTTTTCTCACCCTTTTCTCTCACTTCCTCAACCTTTCTTCACTCCTTCACTCTTTCTTTCCTCACTCTTTTCTCACTCTTTCTCATTCTTTTTCCTCTCAACAGCGCAGACCAATTGGACGTAGTTAATTAAGAGGGCATCTCACATCTTAACACCCTAGTTCAATCATTCATTCATTAATTCGTTTGTTCAAAAGGAAAATGAATGGAAGAACAAATAAATGAACGAACGAACAAACGACTAAAGTACAAACGAGTGAACGAACGACGAAAGTAGAAACGAGTGAACGAACGAACGAGAGAATGAACGAATGAATGAGCAAACACATTTTGTTGATTGAATAAATAACTTTAATCCACTTATAAAAGTTAATTGATCGTAATTGAAGTAACAGAAAAAAGAATAAATGATAAATGAAGAATGAATGAATGCAAACCATCATAACACCCTACAAATCAAAAGATTGAATGAACAAATAAAAATTAAATGATGAATGAACGAATGAATGAACAAAGAAAAATGGAAGAATTAAAAACGAATGAGCTAACAGTCATTCAATATGGCTTCAGAAAGTTTTAATATGTATGTATGTATGTATGTATGTATGTATGTATGTATGTATGTATGTATGTATGTATGTATATATATATATATGTATGTATGTATGTATGGGTGGGTCAATTGATATGTATATATGTATGTACAGTATGTATAATGTATG